TTTGTAAGCATCCTCACTGGAGTAGGGCCTGAGGCTGCATGCAAAAATCATATGCAAACCATAATCAAATAATTGCCTTTTGATGCCCCAAGCCTTTGTATTTTCCATATCGTGTGCCCTACTATTTGCAAAGCATCCAGTCGGTCAAAAGCCTTTTCAAGCCTGTGGAGCCTTGCACTGGATTATAGACAGATCAAAAAGTGGCCTCTTGGCAATCAGCACCTCTTTTTTCCACTTTACAAACGATAATGCACCCTCAAGCTATCCAAATATTACCCTGGACGCCAAAACAACTTTATATATGAACACTCAACAAAGGTTGAACCATTTTAATCTAAGGTTATTGGCATGATTATTCATAATTTGTCTGGAGGATTCAATGTGTAAAAGATCGAATTGATATCGACTGCACTGCTTATCGTTCGTTTCTCAGTACGCTTGTCCTGGTGAGGGTCGCGGCAGCAGCATGTTGAGTAGGGCGGTCCAGACCTCCCTTTCCCTGGCGACAGACTCTAGCTCTTCCTGGGGAATTCCCAGGCGTTCCCAGTCCAGCCGAGCGACACAGTCAGGCCAACGTGTCCTGGGCCGGCCCGGGGTCTTCGCCCAGTGGAATTTACCCAATAGAGTTCCGGGGAAGTCTACTGGGGGCCATCCTTGACAGGTACCTGAACCACCTCAACTTGTACCTCTCAATACAGAGGAGCAGCAGCTCGAATCGGAGGCTCTCCCAGATGACCGAGCTCTTCACTCGATCACGGTGAGCCCGGCAACCCTGTGGAGAAACCTCACTTTAGCTCTTTGTACCCACAATCTCATCCTTTCGATCATTACCCAAAGCCCATGGCCATAGGTGAGGGTGGCAATGTATATCGACCTGTAAACCGTGAGCTTTGTTTGAGATCTCAGCTCCTGCTTCACTACCATAGAACGCTACAGTGCCCGCAATACTGCGGACACACCAATCCGCCAGCCCATCTCCTGCTCCCACTTACCATTATTCACGAGAGACCCCGAGGTACTTAAACTCCTCCTCGAAGGGCAGTTGATCCCCTCTCACCGAGAGAGAACAATCTCCCGGGAATGAACGATTACCTCAGCTTTGGAGGTGCTGATCCTCATCCCAGCCACTTCACACTCTGCATCAAACCATTCAAGTGCATGTGTGTGGCCTGACGTCCGCCCCACCGCCCTCACTAGGCAGGTGGGGCGCGACGTCCGCCCGTTACGCTTCCTCCTCCACCGCATCGGTTGGCTCCCACCGGGCCCCCACCGACCGATTGATGGGGCCCCCGCGCTGGCGCCCTGAGGGACATACTCGTGCTGCTGGTTTTGGAGCCAAACGGAGTTAGACCCCACGCCCATGCACACTGCAGCTATCACTAACACAGGGGGCACGAACGTCCTCAAACCTGTAAGCGATTACCTCTTAACGCGCGCACGCCGCGGCCCGGCATTCACTCTCACCGCGCGTTCCCCCACGCAGTCGCTCCACACAGAAATCACAGACACCACACCTATGCTCTGTGCTAACTTTTATTCTCAGCGCAAACCACGCATTACCCGGGGGGAATATTTTGCGAGAAGAGCCGAGCCTACTGATGCCCAAGTCCCCAGTCACTCAAATGCCCTACCATGTACCTCGCAGCTGTACTCACGGCATAGCATGGACAAAAAAGCCTTGCCTATCACTGCTTCGTATCGGCACTCGCTGGCATCACATGAATGCTGCGAGCGGCTCGAGAAGGCCGGACGGCAGGGGGGGGGGGGGGTCTTGGTGGCCAAGATGTTGAAGATCTCTGTTCGAATGGACCCGAGCTCCCCTTTTATCCCCCTGACTTTTAAAAGCCCGGGGTCGTGTTGTCCACACAGCCAATCATGTGCCTGTGGTTCCAGCTCTTTTTCTGCTTTTTTGCCCTCACATGGACCATCGCAGCTGATGCTTCTGCGATCCAGTCTGCCCCTCCATACTCAGGAATGCATTACTCACCCTCGTTAATTCGGAATAGCCCCCGACTGGCGAATACACACCCTGCGAGTGTATATTCGGTAGCGAGGTCGGGGGGGGGGGGTCGTGGCGCTGCGGTCCCCTGTCTTCATGGTCTGCCCTTCTCACTTATTCCCCCCCAGCTTCTCCCGATGTCATGAATGACTCATCGCGGCTGGCCCGGTAAACCTTTTTGCGCCCATAAACTATTAAGCCAACTCAGCGGCACCGTGATGTAAATTGTCCTGCGAGGGTCGGCCAAACCCCTGGCACCGGGAAACCGTGGGACTTTCCTGATAGGGACCCTTCGGATTAAAACCCGTTGTGCCAAGCAATCCCCCAAGCCAGGACACTACGTGTGTGTGCTGCGTGTGTGCACTCAGTGTGGGGGCCAGGGGGGAGGCCGTGGCACCACACATGCTCAAGATCAGACTCAAAACAAACAACAGTTTTATTCACAACTTCGTTGAACTCACGGTCGAGAAGTACGTCAATGATGCGGCGCCTGCTCCCACATCAATGCTTACTTGAATAAATTTTTATTTTATAAAGGAATCTTCAACGTACAACTTTTGTGTGGAGGGTGCCCTAATCTCATTCAAACGGAGCAGGCATGCCTGAGACACGTGGCGCCTGCTTCTTGGGCGAGGCGATTCGAGAGTTTAGGGACCACGGCGTTTTTGACCTCCACAAAAATGTATGTACATAATACGTACATACAAAATGTTAAATGCTTTAAAGGAGCCAATTACTTGAATAATCGATGCCGATTTTGTTACAGGCATGCATTGTCACCGGATCTGAGTACGTGCGCAAAATTTGGAATTGATTGAACAGAAAGTAGACTAAATTTTTATTACAAGATTTTACCACGACAAACAGGAGTCAAGTTAAGTAAAACCATTGCAAAAAGCAGCGATGCCACCTCCATGCCCCCGTACTGGATGCTCTCCATACCTCGGCTGCACCTTGATGTCCTATTCATGAAAATCACAAACAGGAGTGGAGACAAGACGCACCCTCGGCGGAGTCCAACATCCACAGTGAACGACTTTGATTTAGCACTAATAACATGGACACAGCTCTCACTCCGGGAATAGAGGAACCGGATAGCACACAAAAGCGGCACCGGTACATGATACTCCCGCAGCACCTCCCACAAGACATTGAGGGGGAAGACGGTCATATGCTTTCTCAAAGTCTACAAAGCAGGGGTAGGCTGGAGAAGCATACTCCCGAAACCCCTCAAATATGTGAGAGGAAATAGAGCTGGTCCATTGTTCCACGACCATTGCAGAATCTGCATTGTTCCTCCTGAATCTGAGGCTTGACTACCGGGCAGAGCCTCCTCTCCAGCACTATGGCATAAGCTTTTCTAGGACGCCGAGGAGTGTGATTACTCTGTAGTTGGAGCACACCCTCTGGTCCCCTTTTTTAATGGGAACCACGACCCCAGTTTGCCAAACCAGAGGTACTGGTACCCACCTTCCATGCAACATTGAAGAGGCACGTTAACCACGACACTCCTACACTGTCCAACGCTTTCAATAACTCTGGCCGAATCTCTTCCACCCCAGCTGCTTTGCCGCTATGAAGGCCTTCAACCACTGCAACTTCAGCAGCCACGATGGATACGACCCCCCTCCCAGCTGTTTCCAGGGCTGCCTCCTGAGAGAAATGTCCACCGGGTTGAGGAGCTCCTGAAAGTGTTCCTTCCACCTTAGTTGAGGTCAATGTTACGCCACCCTTACCGAAAACAGCCTCGGCCACATCTCGTCGATCCCTCCCAAGGCGTTGAATGGTTTGCCAAAACATCTTTGAGGCTGCCCAGTAGTCCCTCTCCATGGCCTCTCCAAACTACTCCCATACCCAGGCGTTAGCTTCAGCTACTGCTGCAGCTGCCACCATCTTGTTAAGTCGGTGCCTCTCAATCGAGTAGGGAGACCTTTTTCTGAGCTTAGCTTGGAAAGCCTCCTTCAACTCGACAGCTTCCCTCACCACTGGTGTCCACCAGCTGGTCCTAGGGTTGCCGCAATGACAGGCACCAACTGCCTTCAGGCCCCAGCTTTTCGCAGCTGCATCCACAATCGAGGTCCTGAACATCGTCCACTTGGAATCAATGTCCACAACCTCCCCGGGAGTGCAGAAGTTTTCCCAGAGGTGGAAGTTGAAATCTTTCTTCACTGAGTGTTCCACCAGACATTCCCAGAAAACCCGCACAATTCGTTTTGGCCTTCCCCGTCTATCTGGTTTGTGCCCAAGTGTTGAATCCAACTTTCCACAAGGTGGTGATCAGTTGACAGCTATGCCCCTCTCTTCACCCGAGTGTCCAGAACATACAGCCTTAGGTCCGATGATACAAGTATAAAGTCAATCAATGACCTTCGGCCCAAGGTGCTCTCATACCAAGTACATTTATAAGCATCCTTGTTTTCGAACATGGTGTTTATTGACATTCCGTGACGAGCACAGAATTCCATTCGGGTTCAAATCAGGGGGGCCATTCCTCCGAATCATGCCTCTCCAGGTATCTCCATTGTTTCCCACTTGAGCATTGAAGTCGCCCAGTAAGACTATGGAGTTTGTAGGCAGCATTCTGTCGAGCACTGCACCCACCGTCTCCAAAAAGGCCGAATACTCTTAACTAATATTTGGTGCATAAGCACAGACAACTGTTTTCCTTTCTTGAGGCGACCCTCTCATCCACTGGGAAAAACTCCAACTGAACAGCACCCAGCTGGAGGCTTGTGAGTATCCGCACACCCGTCCGGGGCTCCTCACCAGGGGTTACTCCGGATTAGTGGACCACCCCCAATTGACAAGTTTGATTCCAGTGCCAATACTGTGTGTGGAGGTGAGACAGACTATATTAGTCGGTACCTTTCTACCTCCTCACCAGCACACTACTTTTCCATGGACTTCCATATCATTGTATATGCATTCCTACACAAAAATGTGACCCCAAGACAAAATAAAATCACACTTAAGAATGCAGCAAACCTTTTTAAAGCACATATTGAATGGAAAATCGATTTTATGATAAAATAATAACTCAAAACAAGTCACGAAATAAAAATACTGTACAGTACATACATCCAAAGTAATTGCGATACGGTATATTTTTGCACTTCTGAGATCACTTGCACTTAATGGCCTCTTTCCAGACATCTTGACATAATTTTACTGCTAAATAAGTATAACCCGTAAAAACAAAGTTTTTCACTATAAATCCTTTATATGCGTGGCAGCGAACTTAATATAAAGTATTTAAAAATATATTCGCCTGTGGAGGACGCGGGGATAGATCCCGCGACCTTTGGCATGGGAAGCGAGGGCGCTACCAACTGCGCTATTCCGCCACGGCCTGTGGATGGGTTACGCTCTTGGCTCTTACACTCTGACGTTCAGCCAAAGCCATGAATTAGTTCTATTTGAATATATGTAAAATAAATGTTTTTTGCCTAAAAAGTGTAAAAATTTGGGAATTTTTTTTCACGAACAATAATTGTCTGGCACAACGAGTCTGTGTGGAAAATGTCAGCTCGATTGGATCACGGGAAGTGGGTTAAAAAACGACCGAAAGATTTGCACGGTCCTAAGCAAGCACGCAAGCACGCGAACTTAATATAAAGGATTTAAAAAGGGGGCGAAATCCTGCACAATATAGTGTTAGGCTTGATCAACACAAGACAAACCAAGCATGGACGGCACACATAGCAGCGCAGAAAACCAGTACAGTGTGAAAAGTGAGCCACCCACACCACATGGAACGGCATGAAATGCATGCCTGGCCAAACAATAGACTGAGCATTACTCAATCTTTTCCCCCAAATCATTTATATTTGTTGTTTCATACGTTCCGAAATAGTAAAATTCTTATATATTGAGTTGAAGTATGAGGAATGAATGCACATACTGTACTACTTTAAGGTACGGTTTAGGTGGCAGAATTGTCGAGTATGAATTCCTGTAGTCACGAAAGCTTCAAATCAAGATTGAACCACCTCTACGGGGATGATTTCCACACAACTCAGACATGACTTCAACCGAAAAGATGGATGCAAATTTAGCAATCTTTGGAAAGACATTGATCAACCAGGTAAAGTGTTAACTGTTGTGTTGGCCGACTCTCTGAGTTGCATTACATTTCTAAGTTTGATCTTTTTTTCTTTTTCTCTCTCTCTCACCCTGTTTTCTCTTTGAATTTCACCCCCACCCTCTCGCCCGTTACGGCAGCCCCTCCCCTCCCTCCCCCACTCGGATTAGCCGAGGTATGCCTAGCTCTGCGATCTTACATTTACTTGCAAATTCCATCTCTAGCCCCGCCCACTTACCCTTGGGTTGTACCCACCTCAAACGTATATAACCTTTGGCTACAGTAGCTCTCTCGCTACATTTCTTCCTGCCTCAAGCAGTCCACCTGCTGTATTTTTTCACCTGAAGACGATTGCTTGTGTTGCGATCGAAATGTCGTGATCTATTAGTTATTTTTCTATCCACGTGACTTTACCGAAAGAACCAAAAAGTATGAATTTCTGCAGTCACGAAAGCTTCAAATCAATACATTTTCTCTTGATTGTTTCTCCAATTTAAAAAAAATCATCGTTTTAGAGTTTCAAGACAAAACTAGACCAGATTACATGGCTTCCCCTGGAATGGAGGCAGATTAATACATATTTTAGCCTAGTCTACCACACTGGCCAGACATCTTGAAAGAGGTGAGAGTTGTCTGCATTTTACCCCACCACATGCAACTTATCTATCGATTAACTGTAACACAACCTTACAATTTTCAAATGTAATGTCTGGGTACGTAAACGTCAAATATCCTGACAGCGCTGTCAGCTCCAGCGCTGGCCAGCTGTAGCCAGGCGTCATCCTCAACATCGTCCGTGTCGCTTCCCGCGCGCCCCACCCGGGGCCGCCAACGCAGCCGCTTCACAGTCAGCGTGTGCGACATGCTGCAGCAGAGGTGCAAAAATTATCATTCAAATCCACCGGAATGTTCAACAATTTAGAAAAAAATACGTATATGCATGTTTTATGTAAACGCTTTCCAACGTGCATTGGTCTTTGAAAGGATTTAATTATGAGTATAGAAGAAAACAGTTTGCTGTTAGGGCTAATTAATTTGCATATTTGCAAAGAGTCCTTTTTGCTCTGGACTGTTTCTTCATGTTTTCGGAAACCCTTTCATAAATTTGGCTGGGTTTCAATTGAGTAAGTACCCGATTGCAACACAACCTTACACTGAAATTTTGTTCATATTGGATCATCTCTATAGTTCCCCCCCCCCCCCCCCCCCGCGTTACGGACGGTTGGACAGAGCTAATGCATTAATGTTTAAACCTTAGTTGGAAAGTGTAAAAAAATATTACATTCTCGAGTTAAACTTTTATGAGCGGTGACATGCAATTTAAGATGAGATTTGTAAATACATTTACATTCAATGCGATTCCAAAACTGCTTACAGCAATGCATTTAATGGACTCCGAGAATGCTAAATGGCATAAGCTACAGTTGCAAAAATATAGGCGAGTGGGGTCTGAAAAAAAGCAAGTGTATATATTTGAAAAATTCTAATCTCATTAATAAAACATTGTACCCTATGCATGACATTAGGAAACACATTTCGCACATACACTAATGTGAATGTGTCAGCTACATGCGGTATGCAGATGTGTGCAGTGCGTTGTACTTTTTGCTGAAAGAGGCCCACGGTGTCCAGTCACGAAGAACGGCAGAATCAGCACTGGCGTTCCACAAGTACAGGGAAATCTTCCCACTTTCCAACCCCACTGCCATCAAGTACCTGATCAACAAGACATAATACCCTTTTAGAAAATAACAGCAGGCTTAAACACAATGATGTACATTTACACAGAGGCAAAACAACACAAATGGTTAGTTAGAATGGCTTGGGCCTTCGACATAGTGAAATATAGCTACTAAATTCAATTATTAGAGTGAATCAATTATAGCATGTTACTTTTGGAGAAGTGCATGGACAACATTGAAAATCAATTACCGCACAAAACATTAGAACACTGAATTGTGTATTTTACCAATATTTTCTGAAATGCTTGATTTACCTCTAAAATATAAAATATAGTTGTTCAACTGTACACTTGTTACTGCTCATCATATTACAAACACAACTGGCAAAACCAAAATAACTTTAAGAAATTCCAATCTGCAGAAAAAAACAAGAGCTGAGGTTTAGTTTTGGAGCAACAATTGTACCGGGGCTAAAAGTGACATCATGACCTCAACTATACTTCAGATTTTAATACTTAAGGTGGGTTATACATAAACTTTACACAAGACACAGCAGGAAAAGGGGGAAATTGGAATACATTATCTCAGGAAATACATTGGTCAATCGGTGTAATGCATTGTAAGCATCGACTGCTAATGTGGGAGCTTCACTTACACAAAGGAAAAATACATCAAAGTTAATGAAGCTATAAAACTTGCTGTATTTTAATATTTCATGCCACAAAAGGTGCCAATAAGGCAAAAACAGAAATCCAAGATTAATCCCTTCACTTCTAACACAAAGACAAATATATCAAAAAAATAATCCTGCAGCAAACATTCCAGAGAAAAGAAAAAAGCCAAGAGAACTTTCCTACGCATGTGAATGCTTTGCTAAGTATGTACATGCGACGTCTGCAAAAACTGCTCGGTGACTAGAAATACTATCACTAGCCATAGTCAATCCAATACTGGCTAAAGGCATTCCCAAGCTCCCACCACCTCTCAGAAATTATAAGCTAAGATAAATAAAAACGTCAAAAGGGGCTGCTCTGCCTATGGGATATATGAACAGAGCCATCAAACAGTGGATTTGCACAATTCAAATAACTTACATTTTTGCAGAATTTTTTCTTAAGATATTTTAAATAGCGTAAGACTGCCATCAACAGCAGATGACAAAAAATCACTTGTAACTGTTGTTGTGTTTGCTGGTAATTTTCTATATTTTTTGCAAATGAAATGAAAATACAAGTTGTTTAAAAGTCACATTTTTACCTGCGCAAGAACATTCACATTCTTGTTTCATGACATAGGCATCAACCGCCTTATCTGCCAGTTATGGAAAATGAGATTTCAGGGGAATCATCCTATGCCAACATAAAACGCTTTTGGTCTGCTCTAAAGTCAGATGCGGCCTCCCTTGTGACAAGTCAGTGTAATTCATAAATCCAGAGGTTCTTATGTTTTGCCCGCTACAATCCAGTGCAAAAATTTTATATCTCGCACACTTTTCACAAAGCGATTGGTGCACAAGGTTAATTGAGTTTGAGCTCAGATGATTCGCTAGCACAGTCCTGTTTACACTGTGTAGGGACAAAAAAAATCACATTAATTTTGAAAATACAAATTTGGTCATTCTTGAATTGGTGTGACCCAAAAACTCGAATTCAATAACGTTAACAGATATGACACAAAAGATAATAACTATAATACGATAAACACAAAATGACAGACCCCACCGTGCTCAGCAGATATCGGTCTTCATATTCCATGCCAAAAAGTATCCACTCAAGTGATAAAAAACACGGTACATCATTTAATAAAAAGAAAGACAATACATTTTAAAATAGCTTCCTGGCTATCAACCGTTACACAGCAGTACATGTCAATAACAGTGAAATGATAGGATGTAATTAGCATTAATCAATGTTCGCATTTGGTGTGTGGATGCAGCACTGCCAATTGTAGATTTATGTCATTCTCCGCTTTTATTGTGAACGTGCCCCAGTACTCCAGTAAATTCAAAATGAAAAACTAAATTGTGCCAGCACACTGCCAAATTTAAGAACTTAAAAGATACCAATTATTTAGAGCAGTTTACTTAATCTCGTCATTGTTCATGCCTTACAAGTCAAAGATGAAGTAATTTAATCACATGGCAACATCATCATCTTGAATGGTAGCAACTTCAAAAGCTTATAACTTTCTTTGACCCTGTACAAATGAAAAAAACCGAATCCATCTCATTCCCACAACTTGTATGCATTTTACTTCTAAAGTGGTTACATAAAATGATTTCTATATGGTTACGTGATGTCCCCTGACACAACCTCTTTCCAACATGTTCTTCTCCTTGCTAATGATGCGGAGTTGTTCAGCAACATGTATTTGTTCATGTTGAGGTTGATGAGCCTGTGAATGGCTTCAAGAGTTGCCTGATGAATAGCAGAAATGAGGCCAATGAATAGCCAAAGTGCTACAATAATGCAAATGGGTTCGATATTTGTGACCGCAGACAAACCTTGAGTTATTCCTAGTTTATCATTGGTGTAGGAGAAAGCCACATCTACCATGTGAACGTGTATGCGAGCCACACCACACAGAGGTAAACGACAAATGGAAAGTTCTTTAGATGTCAATAAATTAACGCTAGTGAATACCTGCCGTCACATGCCTCGCGAGGGGCAAATGCTACAGCTGTCGCAGAGTCTGTGGCGTCCAGGACAGAGGAGCACTGGCAGATGGGGCCCATGGCACCGGTTGGAAACGCATTCTCCTGCTTGCCCCACACCACCACCTGGCACGTAAAAACAACTCCAGGTGAGAGGAGTATTTTGCATCTCCGGACAGACCAAACATTTGCATTCCCAGAGGGGTGTTACAGACGATACGATATGGCGATGAATGTATATGTTCATGCACACTCCACATCTTTTGCTCAACACAATTCTATTTACGTGCCAAAATTAGCATACACCTAACAAGTCACCTTCTTGTCTCTGCTGGTCGTCGTAAAATATTTGCCGTCGTGAGACCAGTCGCAGGCCCAGATGACGCGCGTGTGCACGGCCGTCTTCTTATCAGTGCTTGCGAGCAGCCTGTACAAAGAGGCTAGAAACACAAATGTATAGTTTTAGAAAATAAAAAAAGCCAGAGCACTTGCAATAACATTGTCAATACAGTAAAAGGACTTATCGCATTGTTTTTTTTATTGTGCCTAAAGGTTTACATTTCAGAATGGGTATGAACCTTGTAATGAAGAATATTCTGCAGTATGAAATATACATTTGGAGAAACACAACGTTATATTTCATGCTTACATGAAATTAGTGATTAACATGCATTTGTACAAAACTGATTATGGTTCCACATATGTTAAAGAATATTTAAGACAAATGCAGCAATAATGTCAAAACTAGATTGTTCAATTCCATGTGTAGTGGGTTCAACTGAGTCGCAGACGTACTTCTTGGAGGCAACACATATTTATTAACACCAACACATAACACAAAGGGGTTACTGCCCCTTTACCAGATAACCTATAATGGTGGACCAGCAGGCTAACTACGCTTGTTACTGGGAGTAGCTAGACCGGACAGGACCCTAGCTGGGGTCCTCATCCACGTGTTGGTGACTTCTTCTTGGACGTAGAACGTAGATCTTCAGATGACGATAGGAACGCTGAACCCCGGTCCCTGTGCGGACCCCAGTTTATATGCTGTTGGCCACGACCACCTTCGAGAAACGTCGTCATTTTTCGACGCTTCCCGTAGGATCTACCCTGACACGCGACCACCCCCAAGCCCCCCACCTGGGGCCCCTGTGTAGATCTTACTTGTCACGTGCCTTCCAGGTTCAACCAGCATTCCATGGCCTAGGGTAACCTCATCCCATGGCTGACACTCCCACACTCCCTCCTGTAGGAGTCAGCACTACACGCCACGCGTGGTGCCACTGAGCGCTATCCCAGCGCCCACCGAGCCCCCCCTAGGGCTGGTACTACACCCACCTACAGGGTATCCGCGATGACAATGCATCGCACGCCGTGCCTCGCTAGAGCCGGCATTACAGTGACAGACACGATGTTGCTACATACGTGATGTCCGCGATGTGAGTACATCGCACGCCGTGCCCCTTTAGGGCCGGCACCACAGTGACATTCGCGATGTCACTACACATATCTAGCTCATTTGGCTCTTGGTGAAAAACGGTACACTCTCTCTACAACAAAGTGCTAGAATAAATCTGAGAGTATCAGACATACTCTTTTGGTTCTTTTGATAAAGTCACGTAGGTAGAAAAATAAATAATAAACTGCAACGTTTCGATCGCAACACAACCAATCGTCATCAGGCAGAAAGACACAGTAGCAGAACTGCAGAACAAGAAAGGGCTGTTGCAACCAGAGGTTATTTACAGGTTTGAGGTGGGAGTCACCCAAGGGCAAGTAGACAGTTTACTTGAAATATAACAACCAAAAATTATGTCAGAACAGAGAAATAAGCCAATTTTCACACTTGCAAAAGCCACCTACTCAACTTACAAAAATTAACCCGTAAAAACAAAGTTTTTCACTATAAATCCTTTATATGCATGGCATCGGTTTCATATTATTCATTTCTGTTTTTCTTGAGTAAGCAAGCAAGCAAGTGAAGTTAATATAAAGGATTTAAAAATGAAAGATCACCTCTTGACATCCCCCGTATATTCCCAAGGGCACTAGCGTTGACCCGTTTTACCACTTTCAAGAACCTGGCGGCTTCAATTTAACTGCTCTATAAATAGTCTCCACTGTACAGCGTGAAGGCAGGGATTTCATGCCATGTGGTTAGTCAACATTTGCGTCATCATGAAACGGGCGGCTAGAGTCCTCTCGTCTTCTGGCTTGAGATGGCTGCCACCTATGGGTCAGATGATTGTCTGCCACCATTAAGCAATTGGTAATTAAATAATTTAAAAAATCCCTAAACAGTGTAAAATTTTGGAAAAAATTTTCACGAAAATTAATTGTCACGCACAACGAGTCTGTGTGCAAAATGTCAGCTCGATTGGATCACGGGAAGTGGGTTAAAAAACGACCGAAAGATTTGCACTGTCATAAGCAAGCAAGCAAGCACGCAAGCAAGTGAACTTAATATAAAGGATTTAAAAATATCAATCTCACACACAAATGTGATTTTCTTTTTTACATTCCGACAAAACATTATCTTTTCTTTTCAAATGATTATCTGCCTATGATGGAGATTTATAATTACTGTATGAGCATGACTGATTTAAGTCTGGAGTTACCACCATGGTAAAATTGATGATGTGCTGTGACAACACCATAATAAACATAGGACAGAATGTCTTTTCAGAACACCACTTCTAATCGTATCCTATTGTAATTCAGAAACAGCTGCAATAACTAATATAATTGTTGACACGGTGCTAATAATCTACTGAGATGTGCAAAGTTTAAGCTAAAATTAGTCTTTTAAGGTCTTGCATTTGCATAGAGTAAAGGGAGTGTTGTCTTCAGTCTAAAAGGTCAGAAAAAAATGTTGGTCTATAAATATCTTGGTGTTTAAATATGAGCAGAATACACGACATAACGTGACCCCTGAAAATCGTGGGCAACAGGATATCACACAGGTCGGTGGAACCGGTGATGACAGAGCCTCTCCATGCACTGTGAAGAGCCACATTCGCCATGCTAATATTCTTCGCAGGAATGCAGGTAAGACACCACTGAAAGTAATCATAAAATGGGGGTGCCAGCATTGCTTAAACCCTCCAAAACACTCTCCTTCCAGGCTACCCACAGCACTTACAATTCTATTCGATTTTTGCGTATGTCAATATATTGAGGAGCTAAATGCCACAGTCGAGGTCTGCTAGCTATACATGGGTTTCAGGAGAGAGTTGGTGTAGTTTTGCAATTCCTCTATTGAAGGAACGCAGACTACAGTGGATTATTATATGGTATATCGTTTAGATTACATGGCCACCATCACACTGTGGCTAGTATTTAATTATCCATTTATGAAGGAGAAGTGCACATCAGCCTGTTAATGTTCTGATGCGGTTGATGGTACACCATGTCTTAGAATGTCCCATACAATGACAACATCATAAGACTACATCTCTTTCTTAACAACCTACTCAAGAAACCATGCAGTATTACAAGAGATGTGAATAATATCGCGAGTGCTACAAATGGCTCATCGTCCTATTCTTGGTCGAGTGAAGCTCTGCAAACATCAATAAGTAGGCACAACACTCTCGCTCATATATGTTGGACACACTAAATATATTTATATATCCCATCAGATTTATCTATTAAGTACCATACAAATTCAAATCATTTACAAAAAATCACTTCGACCCTTTAAACTGTCGATGGAAAATTATTGATATGACACTTTGTCAGTTCACATGTTTTCCAAGAGTTTTGAGCCAGTGAGGTTCAGCTACACCATCTTTCTTACCTTATCAGTGCCTTCATTGATTATTTTGCAACGGCACCAACATTAAAACTGTACAGCACACATCATTAACCTTCTCTTTATTTTTAGCTTTGCTTTAACATATACAGTACAGTATTGTTTTCATGCTGTACATTTACTGTAAGAGTTGCATTTAATACTATAGAAAATATTACTCGTACATAAAAAAAATACTTCCTGTTTCATGTTTGGGTTAATGTAGGGTAACATAAAACAAAGGAGTCGGAGGCTGTCGTATTACGAACCATGAAACAAACCCCGCAGTTTTCCCATTGATGCCTTTGAGTTTGTGGATTGCGGATTTGCTGACTGCAACTATTTTCAAAAACGTAACCTGCACAGATGGACAAGGTTTTTGTGTACTGTTTGGCAATTCATTACGATTTCAGTTTGATGCTAATAAAAGTATTGAATCGTAGGAGGGACCAGTGACATAAGCAGATTCACAATGAAGGTCAGTTTATTTACATATTAATTTTACCCATGTTTATAAGTCCATGCCAACTACATGACAGAAATTATGATCAAGCAATATGACCACTAATTATGTCAGTATGATGACAATGTCAAATGTTCTTACTGTTAATTTTCTTATTATCAAATTAAACAACTTTACTGAATTTGATCCGGCTCCATTTCACACTTTGGCTCAGAGTCACATCGTTATGAAATGACCAGAACCTACTGTCACCCTGATGATTTGCCCCATTGCTGTTTGCACAATCATGGGTGTATTTTTGCCAAAAATTTACATTTGTCAAAACGAGAATCGGGCCCATTCTATATCATTATCGGTATCATTATGAGTTATGGCACACTGCCAATATGAGTTCCTTTCACCTCTGATGCCAATGCAGCATAGATTAATGCAGAGATGCAAATATAATAAAAACACAACCGCTAAAACAAAAATGTGTCACATTAGAATTCATGATTCAAAATGATATTCTTCACATTATTCCACTTTGACTGTACAACTACCTAAGGCCAAAAACTCCTCTATGGATGAAATGCAAAGGTCATTAGTCATTTAATATGAAACAAACACACATTTTTAGTGGATACCAATCAGTTACTCAAACAATACTCAAGGGAAGGCTGACATGCTCACAACATATTGCACAGCTTAAAATTGCTCATAAATTTAATTTAATTTAAAAAAGTAATCCAGTCATATGTTAAGAATTCAAAAAATAAACCTGGCAGGGATGGTTGCCAATAGCTACGGGTAATCATTCACAGGCTGCCGACTGTCTCAGCCAAATCACTGTTTATTGCTCTTGCAGACAAAGTATGCCCTGACCTTGACCTGAAGATGCAGCTGTGATGAGAAAACTGGTCCATTATTTGCTTCATCACCCAACTCCACATTATATAAATAGGGCTACTTGCTCCAATTTTACCATAGATACAGTTACTGTAACTTTCTTCTTCATTTACCACAATAATTTTGCTTCTAAATTACTTCCATTATATCATTGGAGATGTGTTCACATGGGGGAAAAAATCAGCCCCAAGACATAACAAGATCACACTAAAGAATGCAGAAACACTTTTTTTCAAGCACATCAATTAACGGAAAACCAAGAATTTTACAAACAAATATTAATACTGAAATAATTTGTGGAAAACCTAGTAGTTTGTCAAGGGAAAAAGTATAGTATGATAACCGCACACAAATGACCTGGCGCAGTATGATATGCATATGCTGGGACAAACTACAGACCGTGCATTTGTTTATTTCCCCCCCCCCCCCAAAAAAAAATCATAATTTAAATTCCAAAATACGTGAATGCAAATTTACTGTAACATTTATCGAAATGGTTTCCAAATTCATGAGTTACGTTTTAGCGACATTCTGTATATTGAGTTTCTGTCTAATAAGGGATGACTGTACTTCCAACAAAAACCATGTAGGAAAAAGTGTAACATATTCCATGCACATGCATGGTTTTCTCCTAACTTATTTATATATTTTCAATTGCTCTGAGTAAAAAGAACACACTTCTTCAATTGAGATCTAAAAAAAAATATTCACACTAACAAATATAATTGGCCTGTACATATTGTGAGAGAATGACTAACCATACATTACACATTGGTATACAAATGTTGTGACATCGCGGATGTCACTGTATGGTGCCGTCCCTAGAGGGGCACGGCGTGCGATGTACTCACATTGCAGACATCACTTATGTAGCGACATTGTATATGTCATATTAACAATAATAGGGGTTTTCCCCTTTTTTTCTGGCAACAAAACTGAAACCTTTTTACAAGGATTCATGTCTGCATTAACCACAATACTTGCAGTCAAAATGCAAACAAAAAACACACTATGCTAATTTATGCATTGTCCTTGAAACTGATTGGTCCACACCAAGGGACGGCTTTCTTTTGAGCCTCAACCTAATTGGTGCTCGACCAGAGGACGCCAGTTTCAAGGGCAATGTATATATTATCATAGTGTGTTTTTTGTTTGCATTTTGACTGCAAGTATTGTGGTTAATGCAGACATTAATCCTTGTAAAAAGGTTTCAGTTTTGTTGCCAGAAAAAAAAGGGGAAAAACCCTATTATATTTTGGTACTGGCAAAGGAGGTCTAATGAGGATCGTATATGTCGCTAGGCACGGCGTGCGATGCATTGTCATCGTGGACACCCCGTAGGTGGGTGTAGTACCAGCCCTAGGGGGGGCTCGGTGAGCGCTGGTTTCTCGAAGGTGGTTGTGGCCAAGGGCGGGGCCAGCCACGACCCAGCAGCATATAAACCGGGGTCCGCACAGGGACCGGGGTTCAGCGTTGCTGTCGTCTACGATCTACGTTCTACGTACAAGAAGAAGTCACCAACACGTGGACGAGGACTCCAGCTAGGGTCCTGTCCGTTGTAGCTGTTCCCAGTAACAAGCGTAGTTAGCCTGGTGGTCCACCACCATATGTTATCTGGTAAAGAGGCAGTAACCCCTTTGTGTTATGTGTTGGTGTTAATAATTGTGTAGCCTCCAAGAAGTACGTCTGCGACTCAATTGAATCCACTACACAAATAACAGCATGAGCAAAAATATAAAAAATTCCCTAGAATATTAAGAAACCTCACTGTGGATCATCTGAATAATCTCATATTGAGAAAGACCATGATATATGTTTACAAATTAATTCACATGTCCCCACTGACAAAACTTGGTGTAAACAATTATTTCCAAACTAACAGTTTATGCTTCTTCGAATTACCACTATAGAGTAGAACCCCTCTTAAAGACGGTAATTGGTTCCACGAAACCGGTCGTTAAGTGATTTTGTCGTTCAGCGAGTTTAGAAAATACATGTTAAAGGCTTAATTAGTTCCGATAGCATCGAAAGTTACCCTTTTTCAACCAAAAACCGTACTTTATAATATTTAAACAATGGAATAATAATATCTTCTTGGTTCTTTCGGTAAAGTCACATAGAATGAAAATAATAAAGTAATAAAAAGAAAACATAATAAAATAATTCTCACGACGTTTCGGCCACAACGCAAGCAGCCGTCCTCAGGTGAAGAACAGGTCTGTCAGAAAGACAGCGTCTGAATGAACACCACCAGGCTTGGCAGCGTATATTTAAGCTGGGTTGGAGGGGGAAGAGCGCCTTGACAAAGGAATTTGCATATCAAGAGGAATTTAGCATATTTATGGGAAATGCAGGTATGTGATAAGTACTACTTATGCCCGTGCATTATGCAGGATTAGCAGCATCAAAGGGAGGGGATATGGGAAATGCAGGTATGTGATTAGTACTACTTATGCCCGTGCATTATGCAGGATTAGCAGCATCAAAGGGAGGGGATATGGGAAATGCAGGTATGTGATTAGTACTACTTATGCCCGTGCATTATGCAGGATTAGCAGCATCAAAGGGAGGGGATAGGGGTAGCATTAATAAAGGGAAGGAGTGTTAATAGTATTTAGCTGCAGTAACTGAAACCACCACATAAACAACTAAAGTATAAACTACATAGTATCATCAGTATACTAAATATACTCTACAATAAGCTGAGTTACTAACAGTAAGTAATACATTACAATTCTACGTCGTAAAAAATATAATATGCTTCCATATAAACTTTATTCTCTTACATCACACGAGTCTACACCATACTATATACTGCCATAGACAAACCCAACATTAAATTACATACTGTATTGCTATAAACCACCCTAAACCTTATACATTGTAATATTACACTATGTATTATTCTACCCACCCTAATGTATATCACACTGCTGTATATTCACTATACAATTACGATACTATATATTACTTTGTACATTGTATTAAGCATATAAATGTTATACTATTTGTTATTATACACTGTACCATTGACCGTCGTGTGAAAGATACTAAGAGGAAGCAACGAAATATGTCAATGGGAGAGTAGCGAAAGGAAACTTGCAGCGGAGCAAAAAATCAATTTCCTGCAAAGAATACAATGCCAGTGAGTGGAACGCGGTCTGAAAGTTACCGTAAACGTGAACACAATCAGTTAAGATCCGAAATGGTTTATTATGTCCTTCCAATGATTGCTAAGCCAGAATCCATCTTCTCGGTTGAAATTGTCTCTGTGTTTGTATATGTGGATCGTCTCATGAACGAATCTCTCATGGTAGCCAGATGGCTTGCAGAGAACCTCTGTCTTAGAGAAGTCAATATCATGTGAGCCCACTGAATTGTAACAGTGATCTGCCACGGCTGAGGTGTTTGTCCTACCGTGTTTCAAGTCTGCTTTATGTTCACGGATGCGGTCCGAGACATGTCGTTTGGTTTCTCCAATGTAACTGCTACCACAGAGGCAACTTAGTTTGTAGACGCCAGGGTACTGTATGTCTGGAACCACATCTTTTACAGACAGGACCAGATCACGGATTTTATGTACTGTGTTGAATCGGACCTGGATCTTGTGTTTTATCAGGATTTTGGAGATCTTTTTTGTGACCCCAGCAATGTAGGGTAAGGTGATGGTCTTGAAAGGCTCCTCAACAGGATCCTTCTTGATGATTGGAGTGATGGCTTTGCGGATTGTGTAGTCGGAGTAACCATTAGCCTTAAGAGCTTGGCGTACGTGTTTGAGTTCACTGGCAATGTGTTCCTAGTCGGAGATGCTTTGGGCTCTATGGTATAGAGTCTTGATGAGGGAATTCTTCTGGGATGGATGGTGGTGGGAATCCGGTTTCAGCAAAAGTATTGTGAATCTTTCAATCTTGCCCATTAGCCACACTATATAATGAAGCCAAATGTTGCTTTACACTCAAGAGTTAGAATATACAAAATTAGCAAAAAAAAATGTATTATCAGTTACTTTTTAAATCCTTTATATTAAGTTCGCTTGCTTGCTTAGGACCGTGCAAATCTTTCGGTCGTTTTTTAACCCACTTCCCGTGATCCAATCGAGCTGACATTTTCCACACAGACTCGTTGTGCGTGACAATTAATGTTCGTGGAAATTTTTTTCCAAAATTTAACACTTTTTAGGACAAAAATATTATATTTAATTACCAATTGCTTAATGGTGCAATGCAATCATCTGACCCATAAGTGGCAGCCATCTCAAGCCAGAGGACGAGATGACTCTAGCGGCCACGCATATAAAGGATTTATAGTGAAAAACTTAGTTTTTACGGGTAATACTTATTTTGTGTGCAGTCATTGGTTAGTACGGTGAGACAGTCTGGTTACCAAGATTTTACCCAGTCTCTCAGTGGTGCTGCCTCAGTGCTCTGACATGCTACTGGACTGCTGTCAACTGGCCACTTAACACTGTCTGCATGCACCTATAGAGCTAAACCGACAGAAGATTATTAAATCCTTTATATTAAGTTCACTTGCTTGCTTGCTTACGACCGTGCTAATCTTTCGGTCGTTTTTTAACCCACTTCCCGTGATCCAATCGAGCTGACATTTTGCACACAGATTCGTTGTGCGTGACAATGTATTTTCGTAAAAAAAATCCAAAATGTTACACTTTTTAGGAAAAAAGACATTATATTTAATTACCAATTGCTTAATGGTGGCAGCCATTCATCTGACCCATAGGTGGCAGCCATCTCAAGCCAGAGGACGAGAGGACTCTAGCCGCCACGCATATAAAGGATTTATAGTGAAAAACTTTGTTTTTACGGGTTAATTTTTTTTCTAGTTGCACTGTTATTCTGGCCCTCTGACCCAGACAGTAACACAAACAATACTCCTGTTGCAAACATCATTCCTGACCAGGAAAGGGGATTATATAATCATTATTACCGTCATCTGTCTGTGGCTGTGACGCGTCCCGATGGCGCCAAAGAGACCACGTCCGATCTCTGGAAACGGCCAAGAGGCACGATCCATCGGGCGAAAATGCCAGCTGAGTGACTGTGAGGCCATGGTATGATAAGATGCCCACAACACACCATGTCCCGGCATCCCACAGAAGAATTGCTGCGTGCTCCGGCTTGGATGCCTGCCGGAGGGCATGACATAAATACATGTGGTACAAAAGATACCAAAATACAAAGAACAAAAGGGACATCTTGACAGCCTTAGTGGTCAGTATGCTGGGAAAAGGGGCACTTTATAAAATTGGGGTAGACACAAATAACCTCTATTTAATGGAGACAAAACAACCATTAACATCATTGTGGAGAATATAAATATCAAAAAAGATCAGCAGACAATGTTTTCTTCCTACATCTGGCTCTCCGCATAAAAAAAATATTAAAATATTTCTTACACAACCCGTCGGCCTCACAGCCTTCTGGGAAAGCATAATATCTGAAGCACTGATTCAGTAGAAGCAAACTCTGGACTGGTTTCAATTGACAAGTGCCTCATCAGTAGTCAGGCTTGCTTTAATTCCTGCTGGTACATTACCAGATGTGATAGGTAAGGAAACAAATAACGAAATGTGCAGTGGACACCTACTGGCTATCTGCCCATGGATGATGATGATGATGATGAATAGGCAAGGGCCCTATGCAGATATGTGTCCTTATTGACACAAAACCAGTCGAGTTTGCTTGCACTGAATCAATGGAGGCTGTAGGGAAAATAGTCTGTGTAAAAAAATACTAAAAAATGTACGTGGAGACATTGTCTGTGTATCTATTCTCTCCACTTGGAACAGCTTCAATAGATATGATTAAAGTAAAACAACATTAAATTTTGACTTAAAATTTTCGTGACTGCAGGAATTCATATTCTCGGTTCTTTCGGTAAAGTCACGTAGATAGAAAATTTAATAAAATATAATAAAATAAATATTAAAATAATAAGTTGAAAATAATAAAGCAAAAACCCACGACGTTTCGATCGCAACACAAGCGGTCTTCATCAGGCGGAACGTCGTGGGTTTTTGCTTTATTATTTTCAATTTATTATTCATATTTTTTAAATTTCATTTTATTATCTTTTACAGGTAGTCCTCTACTTACGATGGAGATGCGTTACGACGACCCCATCGTAAGTCGAAGATGGCCAAGCCTACCCAGGAGTCTTAAAGAATGGTGATAATTTAGCAAAACAGGAATTTACAGTACCGTACTGTATAAACTATACACTGTATGTATTTATTAATTACAATACTCTATTGCACAGCAAAATGTAAAGTAAAAAAACAAGGTAAATTCTTAGCCTACCTATATGAACTGCAATTTAATAGAAAGGCGGGAGATGCGTACATCCCGGCAGCGTCCCAACGTACAGTATCGTACCTCGTATGCTGCTGCGTTTGCCTGCCGCGCGAAATGTAAATATTTTACAATTTTGTCGTGTCGCTATCGCCATCCTAAGATCGGAATATCGTAAGTCGGACCATCGTAACTCGGGGATTATCTGTATTTTATTTTCTAGCTACGTAACTTTACCGAAAGAACCAAGAATATGAAACATTGTAGAAATTATTCATTATCCAAATCTGCTTATATTTCTGCAAATGCAAGAAAATTATCTAACAATGAGAACAAAAAACAGTATTCTGCCTAAATCTTGACTTAAAGCTTTCGTGACTGCAGGAATTCATATTCTTGGGTCTTTCAGTAAAGTCACGTAGATCGGTGACGATTGTTTGTGTTGCGATCGAAACGTCGTAGTTTTTTGTTTTGTTATTTTCTTTGAACCTATCTACGTGACTTTACCGAAAGACCCAAGAATAAGTATTCTGCCTTTTATTAGCTTTCCAGATGAACTAATTTAACATGCAATACATGTATTGTTTACAGAAATTACTTTAATATCATACAATTAAGACTTCATTTTAGAATGGAAAAAAACATTAACAATTAGGCATAGTCTCGATCTAATTAATAACACTAACAAAAAAACGCATTTTTGTTCCTGGGTATTAAGTGTTATTTCCTAATTGCTTACGCCTCAAAAGTACAGAAAATGGCTATTACTCCCCACAAACTTTGCTTTTGTGACCAGCACAGTGCTATTTTGAAATGTACCTATTTTCAATGAGAAAACGTGTGCATTTGTGTCATTCCTTCACATAAAGTCCTGGTCACAAAAGCAAAGTTTGTGGGGAGTAATAGCTATTTTCTATACTTTTAGGCATAAGCAATAAAAAAAATAACACTTACTACCCAAGGACAAAAATCGCGTGACATAGTGTAATCAACGCTATTGGTCAACAGTGGCGTTTGTACACACCTTACAGGATGATGCTACCAAACTCCCTGCTGGGTGAGCTGCAACACTGAATACTTCATAACCATGACCATACCTGCAGACAAATAAGTGCAGAGAAAGAACTGCAATATTACAATCCACAGCAGGAACGTAACTAATGCTTCACATCATTCATTAAAATTGATTGCTACACTCACATTTGCATTTTAATAATGTGTGAGAATCTATTATTCTTCATGTGTTGAGACAAACTTGATCACTACAGCCACTGGAGGCATTAGCATTATTCTTGAAATAAAATTGCGATCCTGAATTCTAACAATCGAATCGTGCAGGGCGATGCAAATAATTACCTGCCTAACTCACATTAATAATAAATAAATCACCACACATATTGATGGTTTATCTTGTTTCCAATAATTTTCCGAGAAAATATTTGAGTGGAAATATATGCAGGTTTTATTAAGAGTCAACACTCACAGCTTTTGCACTTCCGGCCACAGGGTGTTCTGCAGTAGATGGTCCTCCATTGGGGGTTCTAAGCAAGCAAGTGAAGGAGTGTTATGTCAATGCGACAATTACTGTTTTGTAATCATCACACCATCGATTAGCACCATCGATTAGCACGGCTGGCTACGTACGGTGCAAAAGAAGTTCAACATACACACATCACAGGATATTCTAAAGCACGTGGGTCAAGTGGGTGTGTTGCAGTCTTACCTTGTAAAGCAACGGCTTGGAAGTACATCTCTTGATATTGCTCATTGGCCGACACCTCTATCTCCCGATCGTCATTCGGCTCACCTCGGCAGGTCACAATGTCTGCTTTTAGGTCGTGATTTGTAAAAAAAAAAAATTATTTTTTATAATTCCTATATAAAAAAAACACATTTTAAAGGGGTGTTTTTAAAAAAGTCACTTCAACTATTGTACAAATTATCACAAATAAATTTGTTATTTTGCTGAGCTTTACCATATTTAAAAATGTGTAGGAAGACAGACATAAAAAATATACCTTGATATACAGCCTTATTCGACAGACCAAGTGCAGGAACACTTGCTCCCTCTGGCAAATCACTGCTCACCTAAGGAAGTTACATTTATAGTAAAAAACAAATGGCATTACAAATAATGTTTAAGTAAAGAAAACTGTACTTTAACACATCGCAACAGCATGTTCAGTGAATTATTTCTTTAATAAACTATGAACAGCTTGAATGAACTTCATTGCGCCAGGTAAGCACGCTCAGGGTGCGGACCTTTCACTATTAAACAATAGCAAACCATTTGTTTTATAACTCCAGAAGACAACACAGCTAACATTCAACTCCCACATCTCCCTCCCAGTCCTTTGTTGCTGACCCCCTACCTAATGGCTTCACCTGCAAAAAAAATAGTAAAATATTAAAAGTGGTGTCACACAATTGGGTAGCGCTGGTCCACGTCTCGTGTGTTCCTTTTGTCTCACCCCGGCGGCAGTGGGAAGCTCTTGTGCTTGGTGGCCACTGATGCTTGCCAGGTTGTGCAGGAAACTTCGAGGGGCGGAAAACACTCGCAGTACCTTCTCGTCAGCACCCGATATAAAGCGGTGCTTACCGAGCGGCGCCAGACATTGCATGTCGTAGCCATGGATTTGTGGCCGCGCGACCTCGTGCCATGTCACCTGCACACGCGGATACCAGGATGCATGTATGTATGTTGAACCTCTTTCGCACCATACGTAGCCAACTGCGGCTATTCGGTGGTGCATAGATAACCCAGGGTTGAAATGTCGCTATTCTGATCGGGAAATTGTTGAACAAAGTTTGGTCTCGAAAGTGGTGACATTAGTTTGCTCACAAAGTAAGCATGCTTAACAGGGAGAAGTGCTGCCACTATTATTTTATTTCTCTGCATAACATCATCCTCCAAAATTGTAATTCATACGAACTCGATAAATATAATAAAACCAGTGGAACTTACATTCTTAAAGAGTACAGGATGTCACACATTCACCCTGATCAATTAACCACCCATGCTCAGTGCTGTATTTAAACATTAATGTAACTGTCATTTTCGATAGATATTCACAAGTCCGACCTTTTAATATACCGTATTTTCCGCCATATAACCCGCGGGGTATACCACTTTTTACAAACAAAACAAGACCTTGCGGGGTATATGGAGGTGTGGGCTATCCCAAAATATTTTACACGTGTGACATGTCATAACTCGTTAAATTGTTTCATGGTAGGACTATCCACTATGCAACACTTACCTTTGACTAAAACACTGCTGAATAAATCACTCACACTGAAATTGCACATGTTATCACGTTTTAAATGAATTGTTTATACAATTAAACGACAATGTTTGAAGTGCGCGCATTGTTTACCGGCGACGGGAGAGCTGGGGGAAGCGAGGTGGGGGTTGGGGGGTGGGGCAGCTGGGGGGAGGGAGAGGTGGGGGTTGGGGGGTGGGGCAGCTGGGGGGAGGGAGAGGTGGGGGGTGGGGCAGCTGGGGGAAGCGAGAAGTGGGGGGTGGGGGGTGGGGCAGCTGGGGGGAGGAGAGAGGTGGGGGGTAGGGGGGTGGGGCAGCTGGGGGGAGGGAGAGGTGGGGGTTGGGGGGTGGGGCAGCTGGGGGGAGGGAGAGGTGGGGGGTGGGGCAGCTGGGGGAAGCGAGAGGTGGGGGTTGGGGGGTGGGGCAGCTGGGGGAAGCGAGAAGTGGGGGGTGGGGGGTGGGGCAGCTGGGCGGAGGGAGAGGTGGGGGGTAGGGGCGAGGCAATGCCGTTACCGTAGTGCCGCTATTATCTGCGCAAGTGCAATCTACCAGTGCTAAAACTGTACTTAGTATCTACCAAGTAACGTGTTACTTATTTATTGGAAATTTACTTTTGTTACTTATTTACTGTTTTAAGTTCACTCGTTTCCGGTTAGTTTGCTTTTTTTGTACACGTTATGATTTTAATGTTAACAATTGATAGTGTAATGTATTACAAATGTAAACTTCGTATTAATATGATGGAATTAAGCTGTGGTAACGACGCTAAATATAGGAATGCATGCGGGGTATATGGAGGTGCGGGCTATCTGAATTATTTTTTACATAAAACGCTATTATTGCGGGGTATATGCGGGAAAATATGGTACTCTCGTGTATTCTTAATGTTGTGTACATATGCTTACTTATAAAGCACAGAAAAGCATTTTCCAATGTTTAGTGCAGTTTGCACTTTACAATTCTCAAGGAACCTATTTGTGCCTTGGCTTAACTCAGTGGCGGCTCCTGCAAAATCTCTCAGGGGGGGCAAATGTCTGGATAATTGATAAGGATAAGGTCCACCCATGCAATGGATAAATTAACAGCTTAAGCATGTAAAGGCAACTTCACTTCTTTAATATTAATGAAAAATAAAGTGACTCTTACAATACATCTTGTTTGTTTATATACTCACTATTAAAACAAACCACTCAAGTTTATTTTATTAAAGATTCCACTAGGTGGCGATAAATTATATTGTTGGATGAAACGTGCTTACGTATGATGACGTTAGCACGTATGATGACGTAAGCACGTTAGTGCATGCCCTCCCGGAAGCCATAGAGAATGCATTGGAGCGTCCCCCGGGCGAAAAAAAACATCTTTGAATGTAAGTCTACGGGGCCACTCGGGGCGATTCTCAGCCGGAGTGAAATCGCCCAAAAAAAGGCGGTACTCCACAGAACGTGACATGACGCTGATTGGACTATATCCAGAGGCACAGTGACGACTAGCGTGACTCTGTGGTTGAATGACATTGGTGGTGCGTCGCCCAATCGCCCTAATGAAGAAACCGCCCCTGGCTTAACTGTTGTTTCCTATAGAAGTTCACAGTAGACCTTTTTACATATCCGCCTCTACACCTCAGTTCCCAGAGAGATAGATGTGACGTTATCCTGTAATGCGGAGCAAGTGTTCTGTAAAACGGCACTGCTAATGATTACCTGACAGCGGTCTCTTTTCCACGGTGCAAAGAGTCGAGTGGTCTGGTCAGAACTCACACTCAGAATATATCCTCCTTTTTCGGGCTCCCAGCACAGATCCTGGACTGGCCCAAAGTGTCCCGAGATGACAACCCCCGGCCTCCACTCCTCCTGAATGACACGGCACCAATGTCAAATCGGCAAGCGCAGCACATGAGGTGCGGGTCAGCTGACACCATTATTCTCTATCCAGGTGCGCCGAAGGCAGGCATTAAGTTACCTTCTGCTGACAGTCACTGTGCCAGAGATGAAGGGCACCGTGGAACGCGTGAGCAATAATGGCAGTGCCCTCGGCGCTGAACTGACAGCCCAGGAAGCCCAGCGTGTTTCCTCCCACCTCCCCCACACGTACCTGTGGAAGCAATCAAACCAGTACCGGTTTGGCGATTCATTATCCAAAGACCCACTTGCAGCCAGGAATTTGAGATATGTGGGTATGAAAAATATTTGAACTGGTGGTGATACACAATGCATCTATTCAATTAACAGGAAAATTTGCTGAATATCGCAGCCTAGATTTGTTTCCAATGCATATTTAAAATATGTCCAATATTCCAAGTGTGACAATTGCTACTTTGCAACACAATTAAAACAATCTCTTTGCTTTGTAGACGATGTGCCTATTACAATTAAAAAACCATGAGAGACCTCCCACACATGTCGAAACACAGAACTATTAATCATGAACAAATAAAAAAAATCAATCTGCACCCATGTACATTTGCATGATGTAAAAAATGTCCCGTACAAATATTTCCATTATAATTTTAACACGATTCAGTTAAATATAGTCAGGGTATTTTGCAGCGTCACCAAGTAAACATCTAAAGGTGCACCCCTGACATGTCTTGCTCACTCCACTGTTAAATTTCGATTTAAAGCTTTCGTGACTGCAGGGATTCATCTTCTTGGTTCTTTCGGTAAAGTCAGTCTGAAAGACTCTGTCGCCTCGACGGACCTGGTTTTCACCTGAGGACGGCTGCTTGCGTTGTGGCCGAAACGTCGTGAGAATTGTTTTATTATGTTTTATTTTTATTATTTTATTACTTCCCTTCTACGTGACTTTACCGAAAGAACCAAGAAGAAGAACACTCCACTGTTGTTTGATGGACCTGCACTAGAGGCAGATCTCGAGGCCCCCTCTCAAGGGAATATTTATAGCCTACCCTTCCAAGCTGACCAGACATAATTCAAGCGGTATGAGTACCCACTCTTCCCCACTACACGCAACCTGTCGGTTACCTAATTGTCCTGTACCCATTTATACTGCTGGGTGGACAGAGGCGAGGGAATACATTTGGCCCGTTTAATTTTGGAAACTTGCCCTCTAGGAGATCGACCCGGTGACTTCTCAATTGCAAGTTATGTGCTAAACATTACACCACGGAAGTGTCCAGCATTTATTAAACTTAAAGAATACAAGAGCTAAATGGCAGACAGCTGAAAAGTATATATTTTTTAGATTTGGCAATAGAATATCATACGATAAATGCGTGGATCTTTTTTGCCGTTTTAATTGATAAATGATTCAGGAAGGCTAAATGTGTAGGACTTGAGAAACACGCGTCACGCGCTGGGTTGAGATGCGTGCACGTGGCGGACAGTGAGGGCAAACGGGACACAGGGCGCTGAGCGACTTACTGTGTTTGTAGCGAATTAAGGTGGCATGGTAGTTAAGGGGGGCCCGCAGGTGGCCGGGGGTAATTGAGGACGCAGGCCGGTGATTGGATGAGAGGTATGGGTGTCTGAAATTGGCGCCGTCGTCTACAACAACAACGCCACGTGGCACTGGGGGCGAGTAGCGAAGCAGGGGATGATCCAAGGGGAATTGGTTCAGGGATAAAGGCGGAGAGCGTGGAGAGAAACGGGAGTTGGTGCCTGGGACGAGTGACGGAGGGAGAGACGGAGCCGCGGATAAAGAGAGTATAATATAAGGTAGCAGTGGACAAGAATACAGTGTACGGTAGCAGTGGATAGAGAGAATACAGATAGAGTAGCAGTGGACGGAGCGAGTACAGCGTAGGATAGCAGCGGAGTAACGGACCTTGGTGGAGAGAGCTACGACGGAGTGGGACGGCAGAGAGAACAAAGAGCGACCGAGCTGGAGAGAGAGAGCAGAGAGGAGGGTTGCTGGAGGAGCAGAAGGAGAGCGAGCAAAGCCAGCATAGCGGAGCAAGCGAGCAGAGGGACATTGAGTGATGTTGATGGGGAGTTGTGAGTGGAAAAGTACGGAGGTACATTAAGTGATGCCGACAGAGGAGATGTGAACTATATGAGTTAATAAAGAACCGAGAAAGACAAAGAAGCTGTCGCATCAGTACGAGTCCTACATATGCACATTTTCTCATAGTTTACTTGGCAAGTTCAAGTTGTAAGTTTTTAGGCATTCAAGATTCATGACATCCGTGTTCAAGGACAGGAGTACACTGCCAAGGACTTGGTCAGAGCTTGGGAGCTTTCACTGGCACGCTGAAAATACCCAATACCGAAAGAGGTATGCTGCCGACAGCCCAGATGAATATAAACCCTTTGCACTGGTGTTTGGTTTTGCTTGCTCTATTGAAAACTCAAGCGCAACTTTTGTGTTATTGACTATAGCATCAGTGTTAGATCAATGCTTATGCTTGTACAATTTTTTTTGTAAACTTTATGTATATTTTCTTTTCAAAGGGAGAAACGGTGAGGAGCATATTATAAAATGTAAGTTGTTTGTGAATGCCAACGACAATTCAGTTATTTGTAGTTTCGGTGAAACTGAAGCTCCACAATCCTTAATCCATGACCTTTTACTTCTCTATTCTTCTATAGCTTCACAACAGGGTTTGCTGTTTGCTGCAGATCCCGATGGAATTTTATTACAGAAAAACAAAGCAAAGTTTCTTTTAAAAAATATCGATAGTATTTATGATGAGGGAAATTGAGTTAAACTTCATTGCGCACGTGTTTTAAATTTAAGAATATTAATTACGGCGCATTCAATTGTAATTACTATGCAGACAAATGCAGACCAATTTATTAAAATACACGTCCAAATTTCAAGTTGCTAGGTCAACACTTTGGTGGCAAAAACAGATGAACGTGATCATTACCACGATCCAATACAATAACTGACAATGACATATTTCACTTTGAACCACATTGCTCTATGGAGAAGATGCATAGCCAGTCACACTCTGTAATGATTAATCACGCATAGAAAAAAACATAAAATTAAAATCATTATTTACACTTTAATTATTTTTTTTAAAGCCACAACATATGATAAAACTCCCCTTGCACATGTCTCTAAACTCAAACATGAAAATCATATTTGTCATGTAATTATCTGCTCTTATCCACAGAAAATTGGGAAGTGGAGGCAGATTGTTCCTATCATTCGCGCTCGTCCGTGAAAAATCATTCACCTGGAAATGGTTCCTAGATTCACTACATTTATCCTATTGTCCGCAGCTTTCTGTGGATAAGACGAGTGACCCTAAATTCATTGCAAATTAATCTTATCCGAATTCACATGCGGATAGTAGTGGGTAACTGGAGGAAATTACCTGCAGAGAAATGCAGATGAAAGGACATGCCATTAATGCCTCCCACATCAGCACGGGAAAAGGAGTTTAGATAGCTCGTTTTTGTTTAGACAAATGTACCTTCCACAGGACTTTGAATGTTTTACAGTAAACAGATTTAGAGTTGCTTCATGCTCAACTGTGTTCCTAATTTAAAAGACATTTGTTTGAATTGCCCTCTCATTGCAGGTCAACAGTACAAAACACATGACAAAATGAAAAGGTTAAGGATTCAACTGACCTTCTCAAGCCAGACACCTGTCTCCTCATCAGGACTCCAAATGATCATGGTCTTATCCATTGACGCCGAGAGCAGATTCATTGGCTGGCTGTGCTTGCCATCTGTTTGCATGTATACACAATCACAACTACTAAGAAATACACAGACTCCAACAAATCAAATATTTTTTTGAAAGCACCAAGCATATTACAACAATGTATTCAGCACTTATATAACTAAGATTTTCCATTCCTGTTTTGTAAAACAGTTATGGTTTTCAAAGAAAGAGCACACCCAAAAAAACAGACCTCTTATATTATGGATAATATAACTAGGCTGTGTCTGGTAAATGTTTTAGAGTTTCAGTCTTGAGATCAAAGATTTAAAAACTACTTTACAGAGTGATACACAGTGCTTCAGTTAAGTAACTGCAGTGAGATAACAGGACATTGAAAGGTTCAGCAGTCAAACTACAATGATAAGTAACTTACTAACTACAATAGACTCTCGATTATCTGCGCTTATGATGGGGATGGCCGAGGAAAATTCAAAAACGCAGTTAATCCCAAAATATCCATTTTCCGTCGATCTCAAAGCCAAAAAACACTAATGTAGGTATAAATTATGTTTAAGCAAAAAAAAAATCGTTTGTTAATGGACAAAACTAAAATTTGTAGGAAAAACTCGACCGATCGATGGCACGGTCAGTGATAACACTTTCCTGCTCCCGCGCAGAAGACTCGGCCCACTAAGTCGATGACCACAGTGCCACGCCAATCAACATCAATCAAACCCCGACCATTGTTGTAAAGATATGCAACTCCTGTACTGTAGGGGCGATCAAGTGGATTTCAGATTAACCAGAGCACATATTTGTTTGGTTTAAGCACGTGACTTGTAATAAACATTTCCAAGAACAATGTAGAACTTTTTTTGAATATTAATTTGGGCTAAAGGGAAAATTCATGAGTTATTCATTCATGTTAAAATCTCAGATAAACAGTTATTCCGCATATCAGATAAACCGCGCGGATAATCGAGTCTACTGTATTTTTATTTTACCAGGTAAGGCCCACTGAGATATATAGCCACAAATGATAGCTTAACGAAGTGGCTTATCATGTGGACATTTATAGCAGCTAAATACTCTCAACGCATGTTTTTGAATGTGGAGATAAAAAACAGGACCGGGAGAAAAAGCCACCCGACCACGGGGAGAACACGCAAAATCCAAATATACAGGCGTCAGGGTCGAGGTAGTCAACATCTCACCACCATGGCATGCCATCACTATAATGCTACAATGGTTCTTCTAAAAGTAAAATGTTAAGTTTTTCCTCAAATCACAAAATTATTGTCAGATAGCCAGGAACAGAGGTACATATCACCTCCATGGTGATCAGCTTCTCAGGCATGTTTCCTCCTTCAGCTGTAATTCTGTTATCATTCTCGTCCCTTCTCACCATGACAATTCCCCAACAAGCCCACTTCCCTTCCTTAACAGTATTGTGATGTGCCTAATTGTAATTGTTCACTGATGATTATCATAACCTCAGAAAGTTAAGTTTTTGATTTTGCAACAATTAAGAATATTAACTGAGAAGTTTAATATAATTTTTTAAGAATTTTTTTTTATGAAACTGAGCTTTCAAATATTTAATTACCACATTTTATGTTTTGAATTTAGGGCTCCCAGTTCTGGGTTTACATGCCTGTGCTATTTCCTAAAATATGTTTCCAAAAGAGTATATCATAATTACTTATAAAATGCAATGCTATGAAATGTCTTCAGAATTAAGATATCAATGACACATTTGAAACACGATAATTGTTTTTTTACCCTTTTATCTGGCAACAAAACTGACACCTTTTTTACAAGGAGTCATGTTTGCATTGACCACAGTATCTGCGGTTGGAATGCAAACAAAAAACACAACTCTGATAATGTATGCACTGTCCTTGAAATTGATTGGTCCACACCCGAGACAGCTTGTGGACCAATCAATTTCAAGGACAGTGCATACATTATCAGAGTTGTGTTTTTTGTTTGCATTCTGACCGCAGGTATTGTGGTCAATGCAAACATGACTCCTTGTAAAAAAAGGTGTCAGTTTTGTTTGCCAGATAAAAGGGTAAAAAAACAATTATAATATTTCGCTACTGGAAAAAGAGGTTCCAATGGTGTAAATAAGAGACCCCCCCCCAGTATAGCCTCAACAGACTGTTGGGGCAAGTCCTAGTAGTGATGTTTACACATCGCATCAGGTACTCATTTGTGGCTGAGTCGACCTAGGGGAGGTCCAGGACCGATTCAGATAATCGTCACTGGTGTTGGCCATGAGCGGGAATTTAACTCAGGTGGCTGGCTTCGTAGTGAAGTGCGTTAACTGCTACACTACCGCTCCCGACTTTTTAAAACACAAGCAGGGGTCTCACCAATACAAGATGAAAGTAAGCAGGAAGCAATCAGCTTTTGAAAAATGTCAGCTTGTCGATATAGCCAGACCTACTCATTAGGTATTCCTGACGTGCGGTAGCAGAGCCTGCATTCATTTTGCGCATGAGGTGTGGGAAGGCACTCCTCTGTGTGACCTCGGATGCCTCATTCCCCACGCAGTGGCCTTCTCGCAAAAAATCGAAGGAGCCAAAAATCTGGATGTGAAATTAAACTGCGGGCGCCCACATGTCAAGAGTCCATTAATGAGACTGAATTTCAAATTTGCCAAAACATACAGTGTATAATGTGCAGCCTTGTTTTCAGAATTCGGATAAAGGCTACTTTGTGTCCTCATTTGATAAATATTCATAAAAAAAACTAAGTGTAAATCAAATCATCGCAATACATAAAAACACACTTATGGCAGTGTTGACGAATGTGTTGATTTGTTTTATTATACGTGCCTGTGCAACAGTGCCAATACAGCATCACCAAATAATGTCCAATACAATTATAAAAACTCTTAACAGATTTACCATTGCTTCTTAATTGGCAAACTGTAAGTAGAATAAACCAATAAGGTCTAACAGAGCAATAGGATTAAATGGCCGGATACCAGCAATAATATAATCGGCAGGTCTGCGCAGGATTTCAAAATGCTAATGTTACTCACCAAATCCCTAATGCGTTGTGATCATGATCATGTCGATAAAGTGAAACAATAGTTTCTCATAAGCATAACAATTAATTACACAATGCTACAGACATGATACATTTCACGAGGGTATCATGTGTTACAAAAAATTATGCGCATTGAAAGATGTAATATAACATAACTTGAATATAATTTACAAATGTAGTCGATACCTCTAAAACAAATACGTAACATACGGCTCATGTCATGATTGCTTGTCATTATTGATAATGCAATATTCATGGGCCAAACAGTCTTGGAGAACCATCAACAGCTTCCCCGTCTCGAGTATTTTATTTACCAAAAAAACTATGTAAAGATTTTAAAAGGCAAAGGTCCCTGTGTAACCCTTAACAGGCTCCTGCTGCAAGTGGTGTTGGCAAGCCAAAAACCACACCAGGCTGCCTAAGTCTCCCCAGTGCTGATGTTTATTACACACCGCGACAGGTACTCATTTAAGTCTGAGTCGACCTAGTGGAAGCATAAGATTGGTTGATATCTGCTGCCACTGTTATTGGATGTGAGCAACAATTGAACTGGGTTCATAGTGCAGTGCACTAACAACTGCCCCACCGCTACCCACATGTGCATTGAACTTCTTTCGCACCATACTTAGACACCCACACACATGCCTGTTAACCTCATGTAAAAATGTCTTGCTCTAAAAAATATATAAATAAATACAGATTAGAATGCAAAAAGTATTTCATCATGCAATAGCCATAACTCAGTTTATGTTTAAAGTGTCATTCCCTACAGTCTACCCTTGAAGTTAAACATTGCACATCTAAACTGGTGTTACTTATTAACATTACATGCAACACATACAAATGTACAAAAATCAGTGTATCAAATTATTTTAGTTTTCATGACCAGCAGTAATTGTTTGACCGAATGCCAGCAGATTTGCAAGACACCTTAATTAAGCAAGAATATTTCGATTTAAAGCTTTCGTGACTGCAGGGATTCATCTTCTTGGTTCTTTCGGTAAAGTCACGTAGAAGGGAAGTAATAAAATAATAAAAATAAAACATAATAAAACAATTCTCACGACGTTTCGGCCACAACGCAAGCAGCCATCCTCAGGTGAAAACCAGGTCCGTCGAGGCGACAGAGTCTGAATGAAACAGCACACGAGCTTGGAGCATATATATAAGCTGGGCGCATTGACAAAGGAATTTGCATATCAAAATGAATTTAGCATATTTATGGGAAATGCAGGAATGTGATTAGTACTGCATATGCATGTGCATTATGCAAGATTAACAGCATCAAAGGGAGCTGCAGTTACTGCTGCTGCAGCAGTTGCTGCTGCTGCTGCAGTTTCTGCTGCTGCTGCAGTTGCTGCTGCTGCTGCAGTTGCTGCTGCTGCTGCACTTGCTGCTGCTGCTGCACTTGCTGCCTTATCCATTTTAATATAACACTATGTATTATTCTACCCACCCTAATGTGTATCATACTGCTATATGTTTACTGTACAATTACGACACCATACATTACTCTGCACACTGCACCATGCCAGTGAGTGGAACGCGGTCTGAAAGTCACCGTAAACGTGAACACAATCAGTTAAGATCCGAAATGGTTTATTACGTCCTTCCAATGATTGCTAAGCCAGAATCCATCTTCTCGGTTGAAATTGTCTCTGTGTTTGTATATGTGGATCGCCTCATGAACGAATCTCTCATGATAGCCAGATGGCTTGCAGAGAACCTCTGTCTTGGAGAAGTCAATGTCATGTGAGCCCACTGAATTGTAACAGTGATCTGCCACGGCTGAGGTGTTTGTCCTACCGTGTTTCAGGTCTGCCTTATGTTCACGGATGCGGTCCGAGACATGTCGTTTGGTTTCTCCAATGTAACTGCTACCACAGAGGCAACTTAGTTTGTAGACGCCAGGGTACTGTATGTCTGGAACCACATCTTTTACAGACGGGACCAGATCACGGATTTTATGTACTGTGTTGAATCGGACCTGGATCTTGTGTTTGGCTTAGCAATCATTGGAAGGACGTAATAAACCATTTCGGATCTTAACTGATTGTGTTCACGTTTACGGTGACTTTCAGACCGCGTTCCACTCACTGGCATGGTGCAGTGTGCAGAGTAATGTATGGTGTCGTAATTGTACAGTAAACATATAGCAGTATGATACACATTAGGGTGGGTAGAATAATACATAGTGTTATATTAAAATGGATAAGGCAGCAACTGCAGCAGCAGCAGCAAGTGCAGCAGCAGCAGCAAGTGCAGCAGCAGCAGCAACTGCAGCAGCAGCAGCAACTGCAGCAGCAGCAGAAACTGCAGCAGCAGCAGCAACTGCTGCAGCAGCAGTAACTGCAGCTCCCTTTGATGCTGTTAATCTTGCATAATGCACATGCATATGCAGTACTAATCACATTCCTGCATTTCCCATAAATATGCTAAATTCATTTTGATATGCAAATTCCTTTGTCAATGCGCCCAGCTTATATATATGCTCCAAGCTCGTGTGCTGTTTCATTCAGACTCTGTCGCCTCGACGGACCTGGTTTTCACCTGAGGATGGCTGCTTGCGTTGTGGCCGAAACGTCGTGAGAATTGTTTTATTATGTTTTATTTTTATTATTTTATTACTTCCCTTCTACGTGACTTTACCGAAAGAACCAAGAAGATAAGCAAGAATAATAAAGATATTCCCAGCGTTTTATAACAAAGCATTACAGCACAGTCAGAAAATTAGCTAATACAAAGCCGTACGGCCTTTACAAAAAATACAATTCAAAAGAAATCAAACGAGTAAATCCTATGATTAATAATTCATGGATGAAGGCCTCCCCATGCTGTGTCAGTTATGGGGTTTGTTTGATCATACTTCATGACGCTCATCAGTGAAGGTTGGAAGGCCCAGATCTGGTTTTGATCCCAATCGCCACCGTTAGCCATGGCCGTGAATCGAACACAGGTTGCTGGGTTAATATAAGTGTACTACCCAGTGCGACTGCTGCAGCCAATATATTCCTTGAACCATATTCTTAAATATCTTTTAAGGAAAAAAACACATTGGAAAATTTTTCATTCAGCAATATGCATGCCAATTTGTTTCAAATCTCTATACTTTTCTCCATACAATTGTTAATACAGAATTACGAGATGCTTAAACAATTACCGTTGTAATCGAAGACAGTGTAATTTGACAATGAAAATACCAAAATACTGTCCATGCATAGTAACTGATGTTTACTACCGAAATTGCCACTTTGGATAATGAAAAAATTTGCCTATCTGCTTTTCTCTGCAACTTGCCACATTTCTGTAGTTGTAACATTTTGCTTTTTGAAAACGAGCAAGAGAGACAGCAGAAAGGAAGCAGACCTCAGCATACAATTAAGACGTAAACCTGCTGTCTACGAAGGAGTATGCATTGCCACACAGGAATTGGACAGAGTTCACAAGCAAACTAATTATGAGCTGCTGGGCAGGACTGCTTACAAAAGTAGTCTAACACATTTTCTATGCTTTATAAAGGTTAAGGCCACACATCGCAAAAAATAAATGTAAGAAAAATATATCGATAATTGTGCATTACCTTGCCATGAGAATTGTTTCTTTTTTTTAATTAGTAATACACCTCTGTAACAAATATTGGGTTCAATCTTGATTTGAAGCTTTCGTGACTGCAGGAATCCATACTCTTTGGTTCTTTCGGTAAAGTCACGTAGGTAGAAAATAAATTAGATCACGACGTTTCGGGCGCAACACAAGCGTCCGTCATCATGCTTTCCCACCTGATGACGGACGCTTGTGTTGCGCCCGAAACATCGTGATCTATTTCATTTTATTTTATACTTACGTGACTTTACCGAAAGAACCAAAGAGTATAAATATTGGGTTCTATACAGTATGAAAATGTGTCCTGTATTCCAGAAATGATACAAAAAGGCATAATACCTTGAATCGATGCAGGCTGCCAGTGCACCCCATAAACCCTGTTTTCATGTCCAGCCAGCACTGCTTCCAACTTGACATAGTACAAGAATGTCTGATCTGCAAAGTGAAGAAAAAATAACAATTGAGAAGATTATACATTTGAGCAAAAAGAGAGAAAAGTTTCGATGCAAGCTAATAATGTATCTCTATGTATCTCTGTGATATCTGTCTGCTTATATGTCTGTCTATATGTCTCTGGTTCTGTGTTTTATCTCTCTTAAATGTATCATTCTCAGGAAGAACTTAATCAACCAGGTAGGGTGTTGACTGTTATGTTATCCGACTCTCTGTTGTATTACATTACATTTCTAAGTATACTAGATTTGTGTTTCTATTTCATTTATACCTGATGATGATTGCTTGTGTTGCAATCAAAACGTCGTATGCTAGTATTTAATTTATTATTTTCTCTTTATACGTAACTTTACCGAAAGAACCAAAGAGTAAGCTAATATTGAATTTCGATTTAAAGCTTTTGTGACTGCAGGGATTCATCTTCTTGGTTCTTTCGGTAAAGTCACGCAGAAGGGAAGTAATAAAACAACAAAAACAAAACACAATAAAACAACTCTCACGACGCCTCGGCCACAACGCAAGCAGCCGTCCCCAGGTGAAGACAAGGTCTGTCGGGGAGACAGCGTCTGACAGACCTGGTCTTCACCTGGGGACGGCTGCTTGCGTTGTGGGCGAGGCGTCGTGAGAGTTGTTTTATTGTGTTTTGTTTTTGTTGTTTTATTGCTTCCCTTCTGTGTGACTTTACCGAAAGAACCAAGAAGAAGCTAATATTGGTTTAATATTTCTCAAAGTTACCACTTGTCAGGACAGAGAAGGTATTTTCTTTCAGTTTTAGGACCCCTTCTTCCTGTCGTGGAAAAGCCAGCTCCTCTCCGGGTGACTTTGGGGAGACTCTCCATAGGCGGATCATGCAGTCTTGCGAGCAGCTGGCCAGTAAGAGATCGCCTCCATCTACTCACACCGCAAACCACACCAGGGCCAGACGAGCACCAACACACAGCCTCTATTTTAGAGCTCAACAAGAAATACCAAAGGGTTAGTTAGGGTCAGAAAAAGAAAAAAATGCTCAACACCTTCGTCAATAACATTGTGGCCTTAAAAGGAAAATAATATATAATAGATGTTTCAGGCAATGGCCCTTCTTCATACACTTAAATAGGAGTGTCAGAGAGATATGTGGATAATAAGAGTTGAATGCTGCATTTACTCCATGGAGCCAAAGTCAGCTCCTTACTATTAAAATTCCTTCTCTTTATTACTGCTAACCCTACTTCCTCCCTTTGTTGCTGCTAATCCTACATGATGCAGGGGCATAATGACTTTGAGACCCCCCCCCCCACCTCCTACGCATTCCACAAGTAGTGACTCATCCCATATCTGCATTTTCCATAAATATGCTAAATTCCTCTGTTGATATGCAAATTCCTTAGTCAAGGAGCCCTTCCTCCTCTAACCCAGCTTAAATATACGCTGCCAAGCTTGGTGGTGTTCATTCAGGTGCTGTCTTTCCGACAGATCTGTTCTTCACCTGAGGACGGCTGCTTGCGTTGTGGCCGAAACGTCGTGAGAATTGTATTTTATTATGTTTTATTTTTATTATTTTATTATTTCCCTTCTACGTGACTTCAACACATACTTCACCTGGAATGGAACTTTCTACAAACAAACTGAGGGCAACCCAATGGACTCCCCCCTATCTCCGGTTGTAGCCGTTTTCATGGATAAATTTGAGACTGACACCATCCAGACTGCCACTCTATGCCCGACCTTATGGAAAAGGTACGTGGATGACACTTTTGTCATCTGGCCACATGGCCGGCCTGCTCTAGACCAATTCCTCGACCACATCAATTCCATACACCCAGCTATCAGATTTACCAAGGAAGTCGAAAAAGATGGCAAGCTACCTTTTTTGGATGTCCTAATAAAAAAAGAGACCTGATGGTTCAATGAGCCACTCTGTCTAAAGGAAAACTACTCATATAGATGCTTACCTAAAACCAGATTCCCACCACCATCCATCCCAGAAGAATTCCCTCATCAAGACTCTACACCATAGAGCCCAATGCATCTTCGACCAGGAACACATGGCCAATGAACTCAAGCACGTACACCAAGCTCTCAGGGCTAATGGTTACTCCGACTACACAATCCGCAAAGCCATCACTCCAACCATGAAGAAAGACCCTTTTGAAGAGCCATTCAAAACCATGACCTTACCCTACATTGCGGAGGTCACAAAAAAAGATCTCCAAAATCTTGAATAAACACAAGCTCCAGGTCCGATTCAACACAGTACATAAAATCCGTGATCTGGTCCCGTCTGTAAAAGATGTGATTCCAGACATACAGTACCCTGGTGTCTACAAACGAAGTTTCCTCTGTGGTAGCAGTTACATTGGAGAAACCAAACGACATGTCTCGGACCGCATCCGTGAACACAAAGCAGACCTAAAACACTGTAGGACCAACACCTCAGCCGTGGCAGACCACTGTTATAATTCAGTGGGCTCACATGACATTGACTTCTCCAAGACAGAGGTTCTCTGCAAGCCATCTGGCTACCATGAGAGATTCGTTCATGAGGCTATCCACATATCCAAACACAGAGACAAGTTCAACCGAGAAGATGGATTCTGGCTTAGCAATCATTGGAACGATGTGATAAACCATTTCGGGTCTTAATTGATTGTGTCTCAACTTACGGTGACTTTCAGACCGTATTCCATTATCCTTCTCCCCCCCCTCCTCCGTTCCGAGCATAGATGGGCTCGTACGTCTGAACAACCGCTAGTTGCTGTCCGTGGTGATCACGTTAAGAAAAAAAAACGCAACTTTTTTCAAATTTTCTTGCTGTGGTTTTTCACACCTGATGATTGTTTGTGTTGCAATCGAAACGTCGTGAGAATTTTATTGTTTTATTTTTATTATTTTATTATTTCCCTTCTACGTGACTTTACCGAAAGAACCAAGAAAAAGACAAGCTGCATATATTATACCCGCCTTAACAAGGTCGGGCATGGTGTAAGAATAGTGGGAAAATGGCACGAGAAATGTGGTCCCACCCAAATTGCCTGCAATCTCAGTAGGCCGGTCATTAAACTCAAGTGTCTGAGGAAAAAGTTTGTGCAAGAAACACAATTTATCAAAGCACTCAAACTACCTTACTTATCTCTGCTCTTACATTGTTTTTAAGCAGCTACATTCATCGCACAGTGTAGCCTCTCTGGCTTAACTTCATTCTGCCATGAAGAATGGAAAAACCATGCTTCCCTCACAGCAGGAAAAGCAAACAGGTTTAGAGACTGCTCCAGCGTGTATTCCAGAAAAGCACAAATGGAATTGTTATTGCTAATTACTTATCAGCAATATGGCATTTGATGTTTTAAATGCATTATGCAAATACTAATTTATGGATGGCAAATGTATAAATGATTGGCATCTAATTATGTAATTAATAACACAGCTCATTTCATTCAGACTAAGCAATAAGTAGTGTCATAAATACTGATATTACCATTCAGTTCTATTTTATATTAGATTAGATTACAAATTTTGTTTATAAAAACACATTAACTGATAAATGTGTTGCATTTAATGGTATTTTCATGTACATGCTGGACCGTTAGGCTATAATATTGGGTATTATCTACAGCAGCAATGGAATCGTGAAATATGTATCTGGTCTTGTATGTTCAAATCTAGTGTGTGAAACAATAAACATCATGTGAATGGCAATAAAGGAAGATGTGTGCTTGCAGAAACATTTTACACATCAAATTAACTTTGAAAAAGCATTGCCCAGAAGCAAAATTCACAAAGTGCAATTGAATTATTCTGCAGATAATCTTCTCAATATTTTTACCAGAAGAACACAAAATAGAAAGTCACTTAAGGATAGAAAATATTGTAAACGTGGCTTAAGATGTAATTTAATTATAATTGCACGGCACACGGCAACAAGCAAGCCAGGAGAGAAGGCACGGTCTTGTTTTAAATTAAACAGCAGAGGAATTAAAAATGTTCCAACAAAATGGATGAAACGTTTTGTGTTACATTTGCGTCTGGTGCCATCGGACCCATTTGTCTCAGTTCATACCTTCTTGAACAAACTCCAGGCCTTGAATCCAGTCCTCATGTCCAACTAACAACTGCTGCTGGACAAACTGCAGTAAAATAAATATTAAGTGTCAATCACCATTATGGAAATTTCTGAAGCAATCGAAATTAAGAGTGTTTAAAATAGCACAGCACATTTACTATTATGTGCACACGTTGGAACACCATTGTAACTTACTTGAAAATTATCTTTTAGCAATGTCCTGAACTATAATTATTTTTGAACAGATTAATTTGAAATAGTTCATTGGGTAGTGTAGGCTGCTGCAACATGCATGACTCAGCAACAAATGCAAAAAAAGGAGTTACAATTTCAGGGTAAATTAAAATCAGCCTTTTGTTCATGATGAATTATGTGGGATGGCAGGTTACACATCAAGCCATTAATACTCTTTGATTCTTTCAGTAAAGTCACGTAGAAATAAATAAATACAATTACACGACGTTTCGATTGCAACACAAGCAACCGTCATCAAGTGAGAACTGTATGTAAATGCAAGCTCGGAGAGAGACACATATACAGAGAGAGAAACAAACACAGACACGGAGAGAGACACAAACACAGAGAAAGAGACACACACAGAGACAAACACACAGAGAGACAACCAGAGAGAGAGAGAGAGACACACAGGAGAGACACATAGAGAGACACACGCAGAGAGACACACAGAGAAACAACGCCTCTGTGACGAGGTATATCGAGAGGGGGGGGTGGGGCAGATAAATTAGCATGTCAATGAGAAACAAGGGGGGGATGGGATCTGCAGCAGGGGGAGAGAAATTAGAAGCTTGAGAAATCAATTCAAATCTAGAACTTGAGAAATCAAACCTAGTAAACTTAGAAACGTAATGCAATGCAACTCAGCTAACACGTTCTTCCAAAGATGAGTTGTGTGGAAATCCTCCCCGTAGAGGTGGTTCAATCTTAATTTGAAGCTTTCGTTGTTTCTGTGTCTCTCTCTGTTTGTCTCTCTCTCTGCGATCGAAACGTGTTGCGATCGAAACGTCGTGATCTATTATTTTTTCTACCTACGTGACTTTACCGAAAGAACCAAAGAGTATTTTGGAGTTATTTTTTAGAATAAGGACCAGTTGCACCAGCGCAAAGAACAGCACAACTTGGAATCACAAGATCAAGTTATATTTTTTCTAGATAAAACACACATTTTAGGCACGAGCCAATGCAAAATCATATTATTAAGCAAGAGCTATGCTCTATGAAAACATATAAAAGTCATGTACATGGAAACACCCTAACTCAAACCCTCCATCCTCGTTATGGGAGAAGGAAACCATCGTTAATGAGGAGTTGTCTGAAATTTGTTAGCGAAAGGGACTATAACCTAGAATGTAATGTATAAGATTTGGCCATAGGCCCTATTGTAGTACAACTACAAAAGGAAACTCCTGCATTAAGAAATTGCGTTGCCAGTCATGCTCAAGATCTAGAGGTCATTATGGCCAACACTGCTGAAGCCACCACACCTGGTCATCTCTTTTATTTTTCCTGAAAGTCAACCATTACACAGTAGACATGAGACCCACCCACATATCTTGTTACAATATCCCACTATTTGGCTTAATTCTTACCCTTGGTCTCCAGCCTTTCGATGCGCACTCCAATGGTAGTCTCGTTAACAGACCATCCACCCTCTCTGACACACATGCTCCACTAAGGCATTACAGTATCTTCTTAGTTATGTTTGCAAAGCTTCCATCCACCGTCTATACAAACTTCCTCATTGGTATTTACCCTCTCCAAACATAAAATCCCTCCTCTTCTTGGCATGTACCTGTGCTCAAGGTTAACTTGCTCTGTAGTTGTTTTGTTAAAGTATAGCTCTTAAGTAATGCAATCATTACTCTTGCCTGAAACATTCATCTGAACACCAAAGTTCCGACCACCTCTACTCGCCCAAAGTTGTTCATGTAGTGCATCAAAAACCTGCCACGGTAACACAATAAATATTTCGACCTTCTCCTCAGAACCCACCAAACCAAATGTAAACTTTAGAAACCTATAAAAAAATTAATGTGAAGAATCAATAAAGGTGAATAATCCGCGTGATGTTTTCTCAGCTGGAATCAGCATTTAATTTTAAAGTGTTATAGCCTCTTGCAAAAACCGCACTGGATGTCGCGCTTCAAGTCTCCTTGTGATGTATCAGAGTACGTGTGTATTGAAAGTATAAAAGCAAATACTTTTTATTAATTACAAACGGACTGAAAACCAGATGGTCCTTCTACCCAGAGAAGTCCAGAATATGCCATGCACATCTAATGGTTTAAAAAAAAAACAATAAACAGAGAAGGATGACGACCATCACATTGTAAGTAAAATTTGTTTAAGGGTGAGCCATTTATTATATTGTTTACGACTAGGAACCCATGAAACTTCTGCAGTAAAAGGATGGCGAATATGTAGAGAGACTGATGATTTTACATGAAAATATAGTTTTTTTTCATGTATGCTGAAGAATAACAATTATTCACCCCCTCTCCTTGTCTCACCCAAATCCCGCATGACATGAGCAACCTCTTGACGTCATCACTCCGTCGACTTCACCTCACCCATGTCGTGTGACGTCATCAAACCCTTGTCTTAGCACCCTCTCCTCACCACCTGTCCCCAATCTCGCGTTGTGACGTCATTACCCCCCTAACTCTCAAGTGTCACGTGACATCACTCTCCCCCTCTCCTCACCACCTTCTACACCGCATAACGTCATAAACCCCGTCTCACATCACTCTAATTTCACGTGACGTCATCATCCCTCTCCTCCACCTCACTATGAGCGTGGTTGGCTACTTACGGTGCCGATGTTACTAGTGTCATGCGACGTCATGACCCCTCACCTCCCCAGCGTCTATTGACGTCATGACACCTCTCCCTCACCTCCCCAGTGTCACATGACGTCATCACCCCTCTACTCCAACTCACCACCCCAGTACTCGTGATGTCACAATCCCCATTCTCTCTCCACGTCCCGTGACGTCATCACCCCCTCTCCTCACAACCCCACCCCAATCTCACGTGTAGTCATCCCGGTGTGTTACAAACGAACACGCGTATTGTTATATAGAGATAAAAATGTGCGTGACTAGTGCCTGTAATCCATTAAATCTACACTGTGGTCATTACACATCTGGTCCAAACACTTATTGCAGTGTCAACTGCTGAAATTTAAAGCAGTGATGAGTGATCTTCTAAAAATAGCAATTCCCTTTTCCAGTCATACAAAGTACAAGGTATACATTAAGGCACCATCCATTACTAAACAATTATAGTTAAGACAGAAGTTTGAGCTAGGTCTATAAAACTATGCACACATTTGGTAATATGAAGATGTTATTTCTGGCGTTTCATCCATCTAAAGCCATACTTGCCTATCAATGGCATTTCTGGTCAGGTAGTTCAGCAATAAAGCAAGCGGTTCGCAATCGGGATACCAATTCAAATCCTGGTAGGGGGTTGACTCAGCCAGTCATCCCTCCATTGACGATAACGCGAGCGAAACTTTACGGGGAAGTCGACAACAGTTGTCCCAAGGAGAAACTCACCCCATGCCGTGGGGATGCAGAATTTACACCACTGGCTCAGGAATGTAAACAGGAGACAGGCACCACTTAACATTTTTATCTGTATTGTATTATGATTGTTATTGGGATTAAACATCGAAATGGATTTTTTTGCACTTTCTGTACGCAGCATGGATGGGTTGTGCTTTTTCTGTAGGATTTTATTGTTTACGTATGTGATGTTCAGATGTGTACAATGAATTTTAGGTGTATCTTGTAATTTTATTGTTTGTTAAGGTTGAACCCAAATCAAGAGCCGATAAATTAAACTGAAACTGAAACATCAATGCTAAGTCGCTTAGAAATATTGGCGACATACATACCATCAATATTTTTGAGTCCCAGATTGTTCGTCAAGATATGAGCTACAATTGTTTCCAATGCTTGTTATTTACTGCTGAATATAACTCAAGCGTTTCGGTATAATTAAATAAGGAATATTCAAAAAATGATTAAACCATGCATGTCTAATTCTTCTTCTTTGATAAATGACGGTACCTTTATGGAGGCCCTGTACATGGAACAAGGTCGCAGTATCACTGGCTTAAACAACTTGTGGGATTCGGGACACCGAGATGTGAATATGCGCCAAATTGTTCACATGCAAAATAACAAACACAATTATAATATTCTATGTTATGGGCATGAACCTAAAGAACTACACACAATGTACGCCTCTCCCAAAAGGCACCAGACCCTCTCCTCGGAGAAAGCTGAGAATCCTTAGCTGTAACAGAAATTAGTTGCATTAATCATCATATCCCATCAGCGCATCAGCTTGGAGAACCTAAATGCCATTGGACGAGCAAGTCTTTCCAAAAGGAGAAATAACTTGACAATCAAATCTATTAAATCTCTGCTCACCAAAGCTACACGCTCACGCTTTCGTCCGTCCACCAGTACCATGGGGGCCAGCGGCCAGCGCACACAAACATACAATGCAATCCTGCACTTAAACACACTTTATTGCTCTCTGGAGAGCATGCTTTTTAGCACTTGAAACACCAGCACACACCCATTAAAATTCCAGACTTTAAATGTTTAAGCTTATTAGGCATGTCACGATGCGTTTCGTTCAAATGTGTAAAAAAGTCGACAATTTTCATTTGTTCAAATTAAATGCTAATTTAATTTTTTAAAAATAGCATTTAGACTTATGAAGCTAAAAAATGTTTTTGACAATACAACTTGAAATGGTGAAAAGGAATTACACGAAATAACCAATCTCAAACCAAATCACATCCCTGAATCGTGACAATTAATCGATGGGGAGGGGTAATTGATTACAAGTGTATACCATAGCTATAAAATAGTTTTGTTAAGACACTGTCAAATAACTGCCTTTTAAGGTTATTTATATATCATTTAGTTTATACAGTACACACGTGCATTACGAACAACCGCACTGATGAATAAGCTCCCATAAGATATACATTTTTTACCATATGATTTGCCAATGTGGATTCGCACTTGCGAGCCGAACTGGGGAACTATTTACAGTGTTACATGCGAATGTACAATATTTCTGCATATTTGTGAGTTTAACAATCCTTGCTTTATAACGAGGACCGTTTTTGCATTTAAAAACAGTACATTGTGTGCCGACTTACGAACCGTTCAACTTATGAACGGCCTCAGAAACGGAACCCATTTGTAAGTCGACTTGCCGTAAAATCTTGGTCATTTTAAAACTTTTATTTGCCTATACTAAATCTAATAATCTGCACGTGTTTTTGCAAAACATTTTAGAATTTCTGAGAAACAGTGGTGCAAGGACAATACATATTAGATGCCTAAAATGGTATAAATCGTAGAATTGTGCTGCCCTCCCATGGCCTCAAAAAGTTATTAACAATTTTTTTTAAGATTTATAAGCAACTAGCGGGATGCACCCGGTGTTGCCCGGGGGAAAAAATATATTGAAAAACTTCTCAAAACTTAAAAACATATACAAATGAAAAATTAACTTTGATCATTAACTCATTAATACAAATTAAAATAAAACCCAATGCGCGGCTGAAAAAAAACGTAGGCTCGGGCGCCAAAATTCCATTCTTTAGATCGCGCAAAAGAATCGAAGGTTGTAGATTTCTTTAGAATCTGCCTATTCCCGTTAAATCGATACCACAAACGCTCACCAGATATCGATTCTCGCCACACACTTCATGGTAATTACCCCCCCCCCCCCAAAAAATACGAAAGTAAATTTTTATACGTTTTACATTGTGTACAGTATGGGAGCTAGCCACATGACAAATTAAAAGTTTGTTACCTATTCCCCCCCCCCAAGCCGCGCATTTGTGCGGGATACACGGCCGACACGGAGGGTTGGGGGGGGGGGTGCGTGACGTCAGCAGGCACACTGCGTCACGCTACCACATGCGGGTGACATCACAGATGTGACGTCACCGCTCACTTGCGTGAAAAATATATCCATTAATGCGCACCCCCCCCCCCAAAAAAAAATACAAAAGTCACCTGAAGACAGTCGCTTGTGTTGCGATCGAAACGTCGTGATCTATTATTTTTTCTACCTACGTGAATTTACCGAAAGAACCAAAGAGTATACATATATGTTATAAACATTTGCTTGTGCTTAAGACATTCCAACAACTAAGAAGGATAGCGGTGGAAAACTAGTGTATTAGTCAGCATCAAAAGACACCTAAGAGACTGTGTTGGCAGTGGTACAAAACCAAAGGTCAAAAACATGAGTATCACCATTAACGCTGTCTTATAACTGAACAATATACACGGCTACTGTAATAGACTCATGCCTTGCCCAAATTTTAGCTCACTAAATATTAGGAACAGTATATTAGAATGAATGGTGATATGTTGGCCTGAGTAATGACCAATGCCAGATTCATCTAAAAGGCTTCGAGTCTTCATCAAGGACTTTCCAATAAAACATTCATAACCCCCCATTTTCTTTTATGCACCATCAGTGAAACATATAAATCCATTTGCATGCAAACAACAACAACCACGAAAACATTTCATTATCAACGTATCCAAATTATGCAAATGTTTTCTATATTGTGGTATAAATACAAAAAAGTCTGGTCTGTTCAGTGAAAGCGGTCACCCACAACCACAACTATTATATAAACACAGGTCAACAACATGGGACCGAAACTAATTTTCTACAGCCTAATTGTCCATCATTCATAATTTAGCAAACCCTAGTGAGGGGTTGGGGGAAGAATGTACATGCATATACTGCAGCAAGGTGAAAGCTATTTGTCAGCAGGGCACATACCGTCTGCAGAAAGCGATAAAGGCCCCTGTATTGATGGACACATGTAATTAACCGTCTTGACAGAAATGTGCACACCACCTCTGCTTGTCGCTCACTCTCTACTATTGCTCCAATTTTCACCCAACACCCACTCCTTGTCGCACCCACTCACTCGAATGTAACAATTGCTGCCTTAAAGCTATTGGTTTCTGGTCCCGGGCAAGAGTAAGCCCTGCAAATAACCAGGCAGCACAGGCGAAAGATAAGGCGCCCTTGGGTCATTTTAATGCATTTTTGCATTGACAATTCGAGTACGCTTGATTATATTTTATTCATATAATGAAAAGGCCGGTGCGTATTTCCATTTGGAAATAAATTGTATTTTACATCACTCAATTATTTCCCAGTACAGTACTGAATAACTGGTTCACATCTGGTAATGGTGTGTAAAATGAAAGGTATACCATTTTTTCCTAAAGTTACCTATTGTGGTCTAGTTACCTTTAGAGCACAATTTGCACATTTAGTCATTTTGTTTCTGCAGTAGTAGCACTTTCAAATAACAAGAAATTAGTCTGAAATTCTTCCTGGAAAAGCAGTGAATGATGCTCACCATAGCTACCAATTACCCCTGGGGGGTGTAAAATCATTTTGGCAGCAGCAGAGCATAAAATGTAGGATTCAGCCGAGTGAAACTACTCCCTGTATTTACAGATTTCAAACAAGGAGAAGGGAGGACAGCAAGCTCCAACGATTTTCTGTACTTTTTATATTATAAGAACCCCAATCTAGTAAAGTCTCAACTTTCCATCATTTCTACTTATCTTTAAAAACTGACAAAAAAAACTTATTGTGTTTAGGTACGGAATTTTCACTTTTCAAATGTGTTTTATCCTGGCTCAGAAATGTATGTCAGATAACCACACAAAGTTACTCACCTGCCCATATTGCTGAGTATACAGCTGCGATTTACAACCATCTCCTCCACAGGCGAGTATGGGTTCTGGTTGACAAAAAAAGTAAATGACTGAATAAATATATCAGCTCAACAACATCAGCCTAGTGTTGTAGAATAATACCATGCTTTTAATGTTTTTTTATCCCAGTATTGTTAAAATATAGAATATATAGAACTGTACTTGTATTAAACAGCGCACCTTTCGATCCTGGTAACTCGGCAAGAGAGATATCCATTGCGAATCCCGTTCCAAATGAAAGTTCTTGAACGCATTCAACTACAAACACAAATGCACGTGTCACGTACCTCTGACCACTTGATCACGCAATCGTTGGAACAAAGAATAGGCTGCTAATTAGATTTAGTTTAATGTTTCTGGATTGTATGAAAAAGCATGTGTTATCATTCATTAAACATAACTATTTTAAAACTTCAAGGATAATAATATAACATTTTAATTAGACAAGACTAAAAATCAATCTGCCATGTATTATTAGTGGTACTGTGATGTATTAGAGAATATTTACTGCAAAATAAGTAATATTTTATTCTACTTTTAATACATGCTCTCCACTCAGACTGCTTGCCATTTAATGATAGCTATTATGTCTAGAGTTTTGTGCGACCCACTGGTGTGAATAACTGTTATTAAAATTATGATCTAATTAGGCTTTGACTTCAATGGTAAATATGTATTAAATTTGTAAAAATCAAACTTATACAGTTGTGAGCAAGCATGTACCCTTGGATGCAGCAACATCATCTTCTGTAACGTGCCTAAGCCAAATCCGCACGGTGGAATCAGCAGCAGATGTGACAAGCATTACAACGTCAGGTTCATCTTGCCTGGAGGCCAGGGAACGGCCGTCCACTGCTGTCACTGCCCCTTTGTGTCCTTGTAACTTTTCAGAGCATTTAAACTGTCGATTTATGAGATTGTGGGGGGGGGGGGGAATACAAAAACAAAATAAGAATAAACCCAGCTCTATTTGGATCACAGACAAAACCAGTAAACGTAATATCTTAAGTCATGCTATTGATATTATATTGGTGTTTTGTATTAAATACCGCTGTTATGGCATAGATGTAATGTCTAATTTGCCCAACATTATAAAGGTGTAGTGGCATATTGGCTCGCACATTACTCTGATCAGCGTGGTGAAGTCTAGTTTAAACAAACCACATGACTGACACGGCACAGCGAGGCCTTAATCCAGCGGTGGATTAAGGGCTGAATTTTTTTTCGTTCTTTTTTTTGCCTGTTACTGTTTACATTTTTGTATATGTAGTGGCAATTTAGGACAATATAACAATACTTTATATATAAGTTGTAGTGGGTTTAAACTTTGAACCCGATTTTAATTTAAAAAATTCACGAAAACACGTTTTGTATTCTGGACATGTACACAACAGTAGGGTGAGGTGAACAATATGCAGCGAGCAACATTATTGTACAAACCTGAGAGTTTTGCTTCACCCAAAGGATGGCGATATGATCAGACCCTCCTGAAAGGAGCTCTGTTTCAGGACCTTAAACAGGATTACAAAACGCAACACAGTTTTGTAATAATAAACCACTGAACAATAGGAAATAAAGCCGTTTTATGCACGGCAATCCATTAACCGAGTAATAAGCTTGGTAAAATTTCAAGTAACTTGGTGTGAAGCAGTAAAACTTACTCAGGTCATTCTTTTGAATCCAATGTACACAATTTACTCGTTGAGTGTGCTCATTTAGAGTGCTGTAAACAAACCCTGCAGAATTTTCCTTCTGAAAACACACAAAATTAGTAATAATGTTTCGTTGTAAACAGTACCATACATGCAAAATGCATCTCAAGCTAGAAGGGAGCCAGGTGGTGAGCTGGTACCAACAAATGCCCAAGCTCTGCAGTCCTCCATATATTTCGATATTTTAAACCAATGAAAGTGAACATTACAATTCATGTGTATATTACATTGCGACTACAGTCTGCACTCTGTCGTAGTGGTACATAACAATGGGAGCATTTAAGCAATTTTCCCCGCATCAAACAGCATACGGTAACGATTATAATGACATTAAGCTGAAGCGGTTTTAAGACGAGTAGATTTGAACAACGTAAAAAAATCACAATTGCCAATTATTTACTGGGACACGAACAATTACATTAACATGTACAGCAGTTGTTCAGTGCCGTGTTGTACAAATGGAGGAGCGGTGCCCAGCCACAAGTCGCAAATTGTCATCTGTTCAGCATTGCCACGTCCAGTGCCGCATCTGAGAGGAACTTTTCCACCATGGCCTTCATTCACTCTAAGGTGAGCAACAGCCCGAGCGTGAAGTCGGTGGAGAAGCTCGTCTTCATCAAGAGCAACATTCACGCCTTCTTCGACGGCGCGGTTGAGATGATCAAAGAGGACAGCGAATCTGATTACTCTGGCGACAATTGACAACTTGACTTTCCGGATTAAAACCATGTTTTTTTTCGACACATCGTTTTTTTAACAACACCAATAACCCGATAAATTTTGCACAAAAAAAATCTATTTTTTCCACCCTTGATGTGTCGTGACAATGCCCCCACGAATAAACCAGGCCACTTACCACCACCAATATCGACTCTGTAAACATAGGTAAAATACGAAAATATGGTTGATCACATTAGCCAATGAGATACTAACCCACCTCTTAAGAATCACACTACCCAAGCACTAGCCCAGGGGTCGGCAACCCCTGCACTAGCCTTGAACAAAATGCGTTTATCGAGGACGCCTTTTCAGTGTTGGTTGCTTTTCACTTGTGTTCACATTTCAGTGTTGAGCGTGTCAAATATTTTACATTCTTTAAACATATTTTACATTTAATGACTTGAGGATTGGCACATCGGTATTTTTTGTCTAGAAATTAACTTTAGTTTCATAAGTTATTTGAGGAATACTGTCGTCAGAAGGGTTGCGATGACGTTTGATAGATTTGACAATATAGATATGGTGCATGAAAAAAAGTCTGTTTTGGATATTTTAGGCAAATCAAGAATGTTTTGCGTCATATTTATGTTCATTGGTCTGGAAGGCACGTCCACCAAGATGTTTCACTCGCACCCTTGCAAAACCGTGTACACATCTACAACGGAGCATAAGCAATGTTGACGCCTGGTTAATACTGTTCTTGGATGGCAGACTACCTGAAAGTATTGTCAGGATATTACTGTGAATTGGTAGTTGAAATCGTACTCTTAGGTTTTTTCTGTAAAGTCACGTAGGTAAAAAATAAAATTAAAAGTTAATAAAAGTAATAATGGAAATAAAATCAAATAAATCACGACGTTTCGGAGGCAACACAAGTCTCCGTCATCAGGTGGGACCGTCACAGCAAAAATTACTGCATCATTTTAGCTGTGACGGTTCCACCTGATGACGGAGAGTTGTGTTGACCCCGAAACGTCGATTTATTATTTAAATTTCATTATTACTTTTATTAACTTTTAATTTTATTTTTTCCCTACGTGACTTTACCGAAAAAACCTAAGAGTATAAATTCTTGCAGTCACGAAAGCTTTAAATCGAGAATAAGTTTATATCGGTACAGTAGTTGGATGACGGTGATGGGTGCCGTTTGTTGGGGGTTGTTTCTGAGCGGGTAATTTCTGGCGGAGGACCGAACAACCGAGTCAACCCAATCAGTGCCTCTGGATGTTGACAGCTTGACAGGTGCAGCCAACTCGACAAACGTTCTGAGTCCATTAAGAGCTACTTTAGTGGCACATTAAATATCCGACTGGTTACAATATTAGGTCAACTCAATGCATGTTAAAAGTGTTATCCTCTTGGTATGAATTTCGATTTAAAGCTTTCGTGACTGCAGGGATTCATCTTCTTGGTTCTTTCGGTAAAGAGTTTTCTCCGCGCACATGTCAAACATCCCAATGCCAGATCCTCCTGAAATTCCAGACTTCGCAACAAAACAAGTCATCTCTATTAATTTAAGCTTTTGAGAGGCAAAAGTTGTACACGATTAGTATTCAAAATGTGTTTTTTACACCATGTATTCCGTACTGGTGGTTATGAAATGTGTGATCTTGCAATGACGCTGTCCGGCCCTTTAGAAACGTGCAACTGTTACAGCAAACCGATGGCTGTGCTTGGTGAGAATAAATAACCACAACTGCAACACAAAGCCCCCGACAAAATCAATCAGCAGGAAGAATGAGCGACACAAACTCGCCCAGCGGAGACTGGAAAAATGAGGCGCAATGCCGCAAACGCAACGGCACAACACCGTAAACCTTATTTAAATGCAATCAGCGAAAGAACGAAGGAATTGCGCGAACCTGGGGCACGTAGAGTACTACAGAATTCGCCGAGCCGAAGCTCACGAGGCCGTTTCGGCCCCAGCACACCGCATGCGGTGCCCGGGTCGCGCTCGCGGCCACGTGGCTCAGCTGCACCGTGGGCGCCGCCATCTTCCAACGAAGACCGCAGACGGCGAGCCGCAGCGGACAAAAGAAAATCTGTGGGAAAAAAACGCGATTTGAAAGTCCCGTGCTGTGACGTGAGGCCAATAGTAGTCCTGTAAAAGGTTATTTAAATGCTAAAATGTCAACTGGTTTAATAACAATTCTGCAACGGACAGTGTAATGAAAAAATATAGATAAACCAAACATCAACCATTACGATATTTATTATCAAAAGGGCATTACTTATTACTTAAAACGATACATAGTTAAAATACTGCAGGCGCCATTGCATTGATACATTGGCATTGCATCATGAATGTCAATTGTGTTTATAGAACGTAATAGATATGGATAAATTATCATGTATCCGAGAAGTTGACATATTATACTCTGTGGTGAAATTATTTATTCTGACTGTTGTTGTTGTTTGACTTGCATCCCACTGGGATTTTTGCACACAGCGTACGGTGTTTTTTCTGCAATATTTTGCTGTCTTTTCTTGAATTTTCTGTTTGCACTTAGTCACATATTCACTTTAAGATGTTTGTTGTTCATGTTTTTGTTTTTTGTTTGTTGCGGTTGCACCCGATTCAAGAGCCGAATGGCTCACAGGGCTATACCTAATAAATGAATTTGAACTTGACATTTGTTTTAAATGCATTTGTAGGTAATTTCCCGTCCGTTTCAAGAGAGGCCAACCACAGCACAATTTATTGTTGCTATTTTACAGCAGTGCACAAGCACACGTAGCAACACAAATATAAACACACTAGCCTTTTGCCCGTCCAAGGACGGGTGTATTTCAGTAAATCTGAAACTTGCAAGCGAAAAGCAGACCGCGACCTGATATTCATTGCCTCAATTCGTGTGCAATTTGTAAGGCCGCGGTGACACAGACTTATTTAATTTAAAGGTTATAATCCCTTGTTCATCATGACGTCCTTTTTACTTCGATGTCTCAACAGCGTGACGGAGATCACGTGACGTGAGGGTTCTGCCTTTGTAGTGAGGGTTGTGAGTTGACGCCGAGGAGGGGGGAGGAGGTGCCTCGCCCCCCCCCCCATGTGGAGTGACGTCAGCCGCTAATTATTATGAATTGGAGGGGGTGTCCATTTGGAGGACGTCACCTGTTCATGCTTATTAATGAGGAGGGCTGTTCGATGTGGAGTGACGTCACCTGCTCATGATTATTAATGAGGGGGGAGGGGTCCATGTGAAGGACGTCACCTGTTCATGATTGTTAATGATGGGGGCTGGCCAACGTGGAGTGACGTCACACGCAGGACACATACATTCTTGGCTCATTATAGTAGTAAATTCGTCAACAACACTGCCTCTAAATTATAAATATATGAGACAACGTTTTGAGCAATGCCCCATTTGTCAAAGCAGAAAAAATGCACAAACTAAATGTGCAATGAAAAAGGGGCATTACCCCAAATGTGTTGGGTTTTTTTGTTTGAACCGGTGAAGAGGGAGAGGTTTCTTCACCAACCCGCCCCGATGGCTTCGTGAAGTATGGTCAAACATTCCCCATGACCAACAAGGCATAGGGAGGCCTTTATCCAGCTGTGGAATGGCATAGAGCTGTAACCAGTCAAGCATGGAACATTGGACCAACGTTGATCAAACGGTTTCAACCACATGCCAACGTTGGCACAACGATACTTTTGGCATGCTTACAAACATTGAATTAACATAAATACACCCTATGCTCTACTACCTATAATATCACAGCCATTTTTCAGGAGTTTGTCGGTCTTTATTGACAGATTAAATATTCACCAGTTCTGTCAAGCGTGACTATCTGGCACGAGGCTGCTGTATAAATGTAATGTTCAGTGAAACTCATGAAGGAGTCTGAAAGCCTCCATAAGGACTGATAGGTTCTCAAACTCCTCACTAAATTCTGATCAAACACCCTGGGTAATACCTAATCTTCATGATGAATAATCCATGTAGGCCATTCATGATATTCAGTACACTATGGTATTACATTCATCTTGTCTGAAAATGTTTTGTCCGTAAAATGTGTGATCTCTTTCAAACCAAAATCATGTTGAGCATCACAATACTCAATACGATTGTCAAAATGTATATTTTCATACATAGGAGTGTTCTATTTAAAAACAAGCTTAGGTGTATACTGTATGCATGTGCAGACGAGAGATATACGTGGTGCGCGCCGTTAAGCGGGTGCACCCGAAGTCGAATAGGTGGGTAAGCTGTGACCGGAGGTTGGTGTCGAAGAGATGGGGGGTGATGATAAGGGATTAATGGGGCAACTGGTGCCGGCCTGGCGGCAGCTTGAGAGGGAGCACGTGAGGACTCGGAATGAGGGGGGATATATAAGGGGAGTGTGCGTAAGCGGAGGTGGTTGTTGCCCGGGCAGAGGCGTAGCTAAGGGGGGGCAGGGGGGTATATGTGTCCCCGGGCGCCAAGGAAAAGGGGCGCCAAAATGAGGCTTACAATGTTACATTATAACTTATTGCGGCGGGCGCGGCAGCCTGAAACTACTGCACAAATCTACACCTCAACCTAAAAGTTTATATATCCCGCCACACACAGCCTACATGTCATGTAATTACATTTTGGTATGTGATTAAACGGGGGGGGGGGGGGGGGGGGGCGCCAATTTTATAGTTCGTCCCCGGGCGCAAAATATCGTAGCTACGCCACTGTGCCCGGGAACCAAGAGTGAAGACATCTCGCCACTGCCGCTCCAGCCGTCAACAGTACCTCAACCCTCACGCCGTTGCCAGGCGGGTGTTGGCTGAACCCCCCGCCCGGAACAAATGTGTGAGCGGGTATGAGGGAGCGTAGGTGAGGACAGCGGTGGAGATGCAGAGTTGCTGAGTGCGAAGCTGCTGTGTGCAGAGTCGTTGAGTGCGAAGTCGCTGTGTGCGGAATCGCTGAGTGCGAAGACGCTGTGTGCAGAGTCGCTGAGAGCTGCTGTGTGCGGAGTCGCTGAGTTCAAGATAAGTGAGGTGCAGAATAGATAAGAGCGGGGAGAAGTCAAGTATATATGACCTACAGATAGGAGTGCCTATAACTGGCGCAAGAACAGGTGAAATAAAGTGTTAGCAGGTGACTTGTTACAACATGTCGGTGTGAGTATTTTTTTAAGACACTACACATGCATCAGTTGACCGTGTGCACAGGTGGAGGGGTGGTGCATGTGTTTAGTGCACTCTGCTGTGAACCGAGATATCCGAGTTTGATTCCCGACCATGGCTAACATCAGTGGTGAGTGATATCAGAATCGGCCATTCATGGAGCCAACCCTCACTGACCAGTATGAAGTATGGTCAAACAGTCCCCATGACCAATATGATGTGGAGAAGCCTTCACCCAGCAGTAGATGTTTTGTATGAAAAGTTACACACATAGATGTTTTGATCCGTGTTATATGGTGGATTACCATGACCAGATCTGTCAGCAACGATGTTGCTTTTAATCCTATATTTCTGAGGAGCCCTGGGTAATTTCCACCTGGGCTGGCAGCTTTCTGATTCGTGGTGGCCTATATGCCACGTTTATTCTCTTCAGCATAAATAGGGCATATATAGAGGGATGACGCTGGGCTCTGCTGTAATTTTACGAGATATTTCTTCTGGACCTCCAATCTGGTGCATCTGTCTGACAGGGTTTTTGATGTATGCAGGAGGTGTGAAGCAACAGAGTTTGCAGACACCTTTACTGTGTGGCTATTTGTGGGTCCGATGACCCTCAGATTCTGCAGTAATGCCTGGGCTTGTGGCTGAAGTATGTAAATTCTAAAGGCTCTATATTCTTGTGCCACCTTTCCAACCAGGCAGAGTATAATTACCCTATTATGCGGCCCGCATACTTCACTAATTGGCACCTAAAGGCAAACACTTCCAAGAGCATAGTATAGTTGCAATCCATAGAGCATCGACTGGTGCCTTGGATTGGTTGAAGGAACTTAACATTCAACTATGACATCTACACACACTGTTACTTATGTAATGTAGGAATTACGGCGGGAGACGACTTGACGGGTAGCACACTTTTATTAACACCAACTTCACTCCACTAACACGTGTGGCCAACTGCAGCCTACGCTACGCGGTTCCCCCGGCTACACACACACGGGCTCTCCCGCCCCGTAGCTTCCAGGGAACCCACCCCGGCTGGGGTATGGGTCCCGACCACTGGGTCCCACAGCCTCGCCCTCACAAGGCCGTCAGGCCGCGGGTCCCACGGTCTCGCCTCTGAGCCACACAGGGTCCCGGCCCTTACAAGGACAGCGGGACTAGGGGTCTCAGGGCCCTATCTCTTCCAACTCCGTCTTCGATCTTCACTGGTTACCAACTCCCCAAGCGCCCCCGCGCATCGCCTTTTATAGTCCTCCGCTCCCGGGGAGACGGAGCCTATGCGGACCTCGATGTGAGCACCCACCCTAGTTGACCAATCACCACGCGCTGCCACACGATCCTTTTTCCCAGCTTGTGTCAGCGCACACAACCACTCACCACGCGCTGCCACACGATCCATCACTGTCAGCGCGCGTCACCACTATACCACGCGATGTAGCCACACCCGACGCGCTCTCGCACGATCCCCCCTTGTCAGCGCGTACCGTCACTACACTTACATGCCATACAAAAGAAGAAGATTATGTGGTGCCTATGTCCAGGTTGCCAGTCTCTTCATACTTCTTCAGGAGTGTTTCCGATTATAGAAGCCAACAGGAGGTGTAAGTCTTCCTGAATGATAATATTTCAGGAGGCTAGCCTTGGTTGTAAGGATAGTGGATAGATAACCTTTGTAGTGGTGGCAACTCAATATAAGTTAGAGAAAATGACCTGTAGATTATTTCAATAAGATCTTAACTGGGTGGATAGTCACAGAACTTAATGAGGACAAAGACTATCTGTTGTTTTACTTTACCGTCACGATGAACTCTCTGACCGATAATGACAAAAGGGTTGTCAGTCATAATCTACAACAGATAGGCGCAACGTCTTTGAATAACTCCTTGGATTACTGCAAGTCATTTGCAATACAGTACAACAATAGACTAAATAAATAAACACTCATTC